CGTCTTCGTGGTCTCCATCGTCTTGGCTTGGCAGCTGCTCCCGCTCCTGCTCCTGCTCTTTCGCCTGCTCCTCCCCTCCTTGCCCTTTGCTTTGTTTAATTTTCAAGCAAATTGTTGGGGCGGCCTCGTTGATTAGCCCCAAGGAGGCGGCGGCCTAGCCCGCATATGCTTTTAATTGCCAAAAACGTGCCCAGCCACACATCAACAGGGCGACAGAGTGAGCTGGTGTCCCCCTCCGCTCCATCCTCCACGCTCAAATGAGAGAGAGAGAAAGAGCAGGAGAAAAGAGAGAGAGAGAGAGGCTGTCGCTCCGCTCCTGATGATGACAGCGGCCACGAGGTTAATGGCTTAAAGTCTTAGCCGATTCCAGCCCTGCACATGAATATTTGAATGCCAGTTGACTATGAAATCTGCCACTCGTCGTCTTGTCCCAACAACAAAAAAAAGGACACAGAGAAAAAATAAAGATTTATGGAAAGGAAGAAATATATTGGCTTTAGTTACCATATAAAAGTATCGCTTGAATATTAAAGCGTAAAAAAAAGTATTTTAAAATTACATCAATTCAAATCAAACACTTATTGAAGGCTTCTTTTTTAAATTTATTTAAATAATCACAAACTGCACTTTGTTCTAAATCTAAATTCTTAAGAAAATATTGATTTAATTCTGAACTTAGGGTTTTAAATTACAATAAAATTATATTTTTATTAGGAGTTACAAAGATTACCTTGGACTGTTGATTTTCCATTTAATCTAACATCTACATTAAGAACTTGAATAAAATAAGTAATAAGAAATGTATAGTTTTTGTTCAGAACATTTTTTATGTACAACAATTTGTTCTTAGAGAACTTAAATCGATATTCAATTAAATTTGTCTTTAAATACTTTAAAAAATTATAAGCAACGCAATGTAAAGTCTTCTACGTTGAGTTTCCTTTGCTAGATTCTTTATAATTCAAATGACAATTGATAATTAAGGTAATTATATGTATTAGATATTCTGTTATGGTATAGTTTTTTTTCGCTGTGCAAATTCCCCTCAATTGGTTTCAAGTTTTATGAATAGTTGAGCACTGTTTTGGGAGCATTAAAGGATCCATAATTTCCATTTGTGATGAAAGCCAAAATTTTACATTTATTGAGCCGTTTTGGGTTAACGAACGGCAGGACTCTAGTTTTATTGGCGGATATTTAATCAGATTTTGGGGAAAAGTCAGGGGAAGAACCAATTCTGTGAGGCACAGGGCCAGGATTGCCCATGAAAATGTGGGGCCTGTAAAGTCGGATTAAGTAATTAGAAAGTTGCCAGGCGCATTAAGTATGCAAGTTCAAGTTGGGGACTGCATATTTAAAAGCAAAGGACCCGTGTTGTGGGCCATCAAATATGTAGCAGAGAATGAATGCTGGAGGAAGGGGGACCTGGAACTGGGGCCGGGGCCAAAACTCATTAATAACTGTCGTCGTTTCGTATATACAATGTGAAAGTATTTATGCAAGCCAAACAAAAGCCTTTTTCACAAAAAACATCGAAAGAGGGGCACGGCATAAATATCCCCTTGCTGCAAGTGAAATGTAAAATGTCGAATGTGAGAGCGCACACACGCAACTCTTGCCATTTTAATTAATGTCAAACTCTTATCATTGAATATAAAATATGCACACACACACACACAGACACAGTCACAGGGACAGGCACGGGGAAAATGTGGTGGAAAAAGAAGGAAAAGCGGAGCGCACATATGCATATGGAATTTACATACCAGCTCTCGCTTTTCTTTGTCAAGTTGAACGGGCTGAATGAAACAATGCTCGAGGCCCCCACTCCTGGCCCTGTCCCACTCCCGTCCTGTTGTTGCCTTGACAAATCCTTTCTTTTCCTCGGCATACCGCAAAAAGCAATCACGGCACAAGGCACAAGAAAATTCAGAGAAGGAAAACGCATGCTTACCAATTAACGAGATATGTGCGAATGTGCAGGAAAGCGCGAGAAATTTACGAAAAGGACAAAAACCGAAAGACGCGAGGGCCGCACACAAAAAAGTGGCATACAAATCAAATGTGCTTAGGGAAAAAAGCACATGCGAAAAAAATTTATAAAAACAAAAACCAATACACAGGCACAGGCACACACATAGGCTAGAGGATAGAAATGGGTGAGAGGAGGGGGACGTAGGAAAAGGACGACTTTGGAGCCAAGTAGCAAGCGTTTATGCTAAACAGAGTGTAACTGCCGGGGTTGCCAAAGCTGAGAGTGCACGGTGACATTTCTGCAAAAAGCCAGAAAGGATAACAACAAGGCAACACCAGAGCACACAAAAGGTGCACACGAACAGAGGCACACACACACACTCAGGAGCTAGGTCCTGCCAGCAAGAATGAGAGAGAGAGCGTGGCTCTCCCGCTCTCTGGCTCTTTGCAGAAAACGTAGCACACTTTCTTGGGCTCGGGCTCGGGCTCGGGCTCAGGCTCGGGCTATTTTTGGCCGACTCTCTCTCTCTCTGGCGCCTCTCTGCGCTGCAAAAGGCTGCTTCTCGGCTCCTAGCTGGCCAACTGACTGCTAGCCATCGCGTTGTCCTGCCAAACGGTTTTCAAACGCTCAGCTGAGAAAATGTAACGGACGAACGCGACTGGCAAGACCCACAGACGGTACGGTAACGGTACAGGAGAATCAGAGAAAAAGGACTCCCCAAGAAACGGCAACCCGACAAAATCTATACAAAAGTGTCTGCGTGTCTGTGTGTGACTGACTGCTGCTCATGTATGCGTGTATAAATTAGTTTGAGTGTGCCAGCGTCTCTGTGTATGTGCGAGTGAGCGAGTGTGAGGATGTTCTTTAGCAATAGCGTGAAATTTTCAAGCAAAACGCGACCGACGCGCCCTAATTCATGTATTTTTGCACTTAGCTGCAAGCAAAAAAAAAATAAAATTTCAAAAAAGCTGTTAACTTGAATAAATAATTAGGAAACAATAAATAAAATTATATTGAAATTTGTATTGAAAATTCGACTAAAATAATTAAATGCACAATTCGTAATGACTGTGAAAAAACTGTGAAATATATAAACACATGTAAAATGAAGCTTAAAAACAACTGCTCTTTAATGCTCTATAAAAAATTTTAAAAAACTAACCTATAATAAACCAATATTTATCTGAACCATAACATTTATAATCTCTTATTATGGACTAACAAATACCTTGAAAAAACCTACCCAGAAAAACTGATTTCATTTAATACAAAATTTAACTTAAAACCAAACATTTCCACGAATAATAAATAACTATCATATACTTCTAAATAAAATTTCAATTTATGGAACAAAAATACAAAAAGCTTTCAAGTTAAATGTCATAAGAAATAAAATAACACCTTAAAACCAAAACAATAAACCTAAAAACATGTACATTTCATAAATTTCTACATATTACATTAAAAAATCAAAATTACAAATACAAAATACAAGTTCAAAGACCCACAAATTCAATAAAATTCAAAATTTCCAATTAACAAATATATTTCCTCCTACTTTTCTTATCACCTTGCAGTGTTGAACTCAAAAGAACTAAGATAAGACTTTCAGATCTAGCAAATGTGTCCCATAGTTCCCCCAGAAGCGTAGCAGCCGCTGTGACCATTATTTAACAAACAATGCCAAAGGTTAAGGCGAAAGGACGAAGCTCAAGCAATCGAAACCAATAAAATGAGCTCAGTGGCCTGCAACACCAACACCATCAACATCAGCAGCAGCAGAAGCAGCAGCAGCAGCATAGGCATCGAGCAGGTTGCAGGCACTCAAAGGATAACAACATCGACCACAACGATATTGAACGAGCGATGAGATGGAGCGTCCGATTGGATGACGAACTCAGAGACTCAGATAGCGAGCTGCAACTGAAACTGAAACCGAAACTGAGACCACAGCGGAACTCGACGATAATAGAAAATCCGTATCCGGAACGGAGAAACCAAAAACCAAAAACCTAAAACCAAAAACAGCACAGGCAGAGGCAGCCATGAACAGTGCGGATATTTTGTAATTATTAATGAGCGCATAGAGAGCGGGCAGAGTGAGCGGGTGAAGCGGCGCAGAACAGAGCGATTCGTAGCGGGATATCACGATGTACACTCTGCTGGGGCTCGACTAACATACTACACAATACCCACTCTCATACACACACACACACAGACACACAGAGGACTCACTACAGCGATTCCCCACAGGACGAAAGGCAACGAAAGGCTCAATTTCAAGGAATTTGCAAAGCGCCCACTCAAACATACTCACTCTAATACACACACACAGCAGCAGCAGCAGCAGCACTCATCAGCAACGGCAACACATCTCGTCAGGATAGAAGTAATTAAAAGTAAATAAAGGAGGCAAGAGGAAACCGAAAAAAAGAGTCCCTAAAAGCGACAGGAAGTAACCTGATTACGGGCAGAGCAGCAGGAGCAATTAATGCCGCTGGTGGAGGAAGGGAGCAGAAGAGGAAGCGCATCGGGATCTGCCACTGGCCCGAGATCGAACCGCGGCAACAACGACGTCAACTGGAGACTGCCACAGACAACAGGGAAGGGAGTGCAGGAATCACTGCTGTTGGAGGGAGGTTAAGGAATCGCAATCGGAATCGAAATCGGAATCGGAATCACAAAAAAAAGGGAACCACACTCTAAGAAGCACCCCACTCACCCATACACATGCACTGAAGTACTGACTGAATGCCTCGCTGCCTAAACAACCAACTAACTCACTGACTGAGAGACTTCAACAAGCGGAGAAGTACGAAGGATAAGAGCCCTGACTAGAAGCCCGAGTAGCCGTGTAGGGGAAACCAGCTAGCTAACTAACAAAACTAAAGGAGCAACCTTGACTAATAACTGCAACAACAAAACAGCAAACAGCAACAAGAACAAAACAACTACAACTTACTTTATACGCAACTTAAAAAAAATATATATAACAAAAACAAAACCAAAAGAACCTAAAGAAAAACCAACTAAAACAAACGAAAACTTCAAATTTTTAATGCAAAACTACGAAAAGCCACGACAGCCATTTTAAATAAGCAACTCTTGCACCCTCCTCCAATTTCAACTTCAACTTTAACTTCCAACACCAAGGACACCACGCCGACCCACAAACCCGCACAAACACACACACACACAGCACCACCATGAGTGATTCAAGAATGCAAGACAAGTTGGCCAGGATGGCGAACCTGCCCCGTACCCCGCTGCTGACCATCTGGCTGGCCATCAATATGGCCCTGATCGCCCAGGAGACGGGCCAGAAAAGGATCCACACAGTGCAAGCGGCGTAAGTATTTTATTTTTTAATGTTTAATATTAAAATAAAACATCCGATCGGGTGGGAAAAATAAAAACAATAACTTTACATTACCAATCATTATTCTTTAATAAACTAGGAGAAATTCTAGCAAAAGTTACTTAGGACATGATAACCTAAAATTGTGGTTTTTATAGAACAAAGAATAGCTTCCCCAATTATTAATATTTTGACTTAGTTATAGTTTTTTAAAGTTTGATTTGTCGAAAAAATTATCATGTAAAAATATCAATAAATATCAATATAAAGAATGCGAATATTTTAAGCTTAGTTTTGTCAGATTTCCGATTCGATCATAGAATTCAATAGCAAACAAGGATATTTAAACTTCACCCTCCCAAAAGTTACTTTTCTTTCTTGTGATTGACAATCATCGAGCAATGTCAATAAATCAAAAACAAAAATAATTTTAATGAAATGAGCTATATATTAAAATGCGATTCTTGTTATTCATTTTTCGTATAAATATATATAACTTATTTTATTAAAAGTGTCATAAATTTCTATGCTTACTTTAATCTATTTAAAAAAGTCAAACGTTTGTCTTGCTTAAACTGAAATAAAACCAATCAATCAATTATATATTAACTCAATTAATTAAAGCTGCAAGGTAGTGTCATTACACCATCAAAAAATTCAAATAATCTAATATAATGCTGAACATTAGCCCCATAATCGATAAAGTGTGATTTTCTAATGCAAGGGGCCAGTATCTTACCCATATCATTAGACATTAGACAATGGATAAAACACAACCAAGTACACTGTTTTGCAGTATATAATTCACTATATCACACACTCTATAATTATGCAAGCTCATCATGGTGGCCATTCAATGGGCATTTACTCAATTAGTGACATTTACAACTATCAATTAGGCTAATAACATCATAGTGGGCCGAGCTGGCCTCTAATTCGCATTAAATTATGGCCAAATAATGGTTAGCATGGAAGCGCACATGGAACCACCCCTTCGAACTTTAGGAAACTTTCGGGCGAACAAAAACAAAAACAAAAAAACGAACGAGCTACAACTACAGTTGGCCAGTTATTATAACAATAAATTTGTTTTCGTCCTGACACTTTGCTGCAGTGACCAGACCAGCCCCTCCCTCCGCCTCCCCACCAGGGGCGACAGGTGCGTGCTATACGTGTGTTTTTGTTGTGTTTTGGCTGCCATAATTCATGGTAATTTATGATTATTCAAATCATTTTGCTGCAAAATGCGCTCAAAAGTTTCGTTTTTTTTTCGGTGGCCCTGGTTGCTAATTAGGCAGAATGACAGCCTGCTTGACCTGTGCGGCAGTGAATAAATGTTACCCAAATGCCGGACAGTTTGAGTAAGTGCAGGCCATTTATTAGGCCATATCTACATCGTCATTGTCGCATTTGCATGTGGCAGTCATTAAAATGGCCGACGGCGACTGACTGAAAAATGACAACTGCCACTCGATGGTCTTTGTAATTACTCACCCGTCGTCGCTGTCGTCGTGGCTATGACGATGTTTATGTTTGCTTTTGGAAACCCCGTGTGAGAGAGTCCTTGCCATATACATACATATATTCCCCGCTCGAATTGACAGTTGTCAGCTGTCAGCGCCAACGCGCCATGCCGTTGAACCAATACGCCCGCCATTACCCTGGGGAGCCACCATCCAGCCCCCTCGGGGGGGCGGCCAGCCTGCGAAACCGCAACAACCGCGGACAACACATTCGGACAACGCAAAGAAATTGCCGCAATTGTGGCATTAGTTGTCAGCTACTGTGGCGTTCTGTCAACTTAATCACACAAATTATGCAGGGCCACTGTTACTGCCACTGTTACTGTGCTTTTTTTCTTCTTCCTACTTTTTTGGGTTAGCGCTCATTAGTAAATATTTAGGCGCTACACAGAGAGAGAGCCACAAACATTTGCATAACATGGCAACCTGGCAAATTAGGCAAATCAAATATGAGGTGGTGGTATGGGGGCAACGACTCACATTTCTATAGCAATACCTGAATACCTAAATACCTGAATCTGTACGCCGAAATCCTAGTCCGAATGCGACAACGACAACGACATCGGGAGCTGCTACTCGAGCTACAAATGCACGTTTATGGGATTACACGATCGCGTGCTGGGAACGCAGACGAGGACACGGAGATACACGCGACGTGGCATGATGTGGCTTACGGTTGCCAGAGCACGGCTTAGGGCTATATAGTATAAGCTATATGTATTATATAGCGTAACAAGAAGTCCAAAATCGAAAATGTCGTGGCAAAAGTCAAGCGACTCTGGCTCTGGCTCTGGCTTCAAGGCAGCGCACACAGAGGCAGCTGTGCCGTTTATTTGGGCCAAAAAGGCAAAGCCGGAGCAAAGTTTACGCTACTTTTTCATGCAACATTGCACAGGCGCCGCCACAAAGTATGCAACACAAAATGACAGCCTTGCCGAGTCAAAGTCCCAGGGCCCCAGCCCCAATCCCATTCACATTTCTTCCCCACCAGGCAGCTCCTCCTCCTCCTCCTTGGACTCTAGTTCTCTGGAAAAAGGTTAAAGGCCAGAGCGACACAGTTTGCTCACTTTACACGCTGCCACTTCCTGTGCGGCAAGGGCTGCTGGGCCTGCTGGGCTTGCTCCTGCTCCTGCTCCTGCTCCTGCTCCTGCTTTTCCTTTTGCCACGCCCCAACATCGACCCCTGCTGGGCGTCCCGTTGTGCTCCACTTGCCACACAAGTGCCCACTTCACTGGGAATTTATTGATAGCAGATAATGCCAAAGTGGCAGCGACAAAAGCAAAGACCGCCCGGGTTCGCGTCCAACAAGGAGATTTTACAGAGAACAAAAAAAACAGGACACTCAAGAAAGTTTGCACAAAGTTTTCAAAGAAATTCTTTACTTTGAATTGAAATGGATAACAAAATGGATGTGTAGAAAACCAAGAACTTTTGTCTATAAACTGAAAAAGGATTTATCTTAATAGAGCTGCTATTGATTTAGTAAAACAATATATAATAAAACAATTGGTTTATTTCGTTTAAGGGATTTATAAAATATAAAACTGTTGGAAATGTACGTAAATATCAGTTATACTTCCATTTTCAATAACAACCTTAACAAAATAAGTAAATATCCATCAAATTCCTAATGATATTATATATAATCCGATGGAGTCCTTGCTAGACCTTCCTTAAATAAACATTAAATTAAATTGTTAAAGGTATTGAAATATTATTCCAATATGACAGTTATTTCCAGATATTTTTCTCCCTGTATTTCTGCCTTTCGTCCTTACTATTCCTGCTCGTCCGTGTCAGTTCGTTCGTCCTGCGACCCGTGTGTGTGTGTGTCTGTGTAGAGCTGCATCACTCGGGCCAGGCAGCGTCAACAGCTCGCCGTCGAGTGTCATTGAGCGTAAATTGTTGTTCCTTCACATTTTGAGTATGATTGAAAATATCTACAAACGGCAGGCTGGCAGGCAGGCGGCCAGGAAGGCAGCCTCCTTGTGTTTTTTCCAGCCGTTGCTCTGTGGCTGTCGCCGCTACTTTTGCCCTTTTGCCAATTGCCATTCCATCTGCTTTTCAAATATTTAATAAAGCCCCGGACAAGGCAAGTCTAATTTTTTTCACATTTGCCCCGGAAAATACAATTGGAGCGGGGAAACTATTTTTATTGGCCCCGCCTGAAGGCGAGAGATATCCGCGCCTTAGTCCGCTGTTCATTTTGCAAAATGTCAAGGACTTGCCAATGCAATTCAATTTTTTATGCATTTACCTCGAACTCGTTCCCTCAGCCGGTGCATAAGCTCGAATCCGAAATGGGATTGAGCTTTATTTAATCAAAAAGGCCAAACGATTCCCAGGATAAATCCAAAGGCAAGTCGAAGTGGAAATCTAAACTAAGATAGATTTCGAACTAAATGGAAAACTCTTTCAAGAAACTTATATACGTTTTCGAAGAAATAAAACTTTCCTCTAGGATAGACAGTTTTTAAAGCATTTAAACTTGTTGAAACAATTTCAGATGTGTTTTATATCCTCTGGTGGTTACTCTAACCCACTTTCACACTATTTTTTTGCTATATATTTCTGGTTTAATAAAACCAGGATGTGAGCTATGTTGAGCTATGCTTGCGGTGACATTTTTATACTATTCCCAGTTCGCCTGAAATTGACTTAAACAAGTCCATAAACTGGGGCGTGGCTCAGCTCGCTCGGCTAGCTCATAATAGTTAATGTTTCCATGTCCAAGCGGCTTTCCTGTGTATCCCGGGAGCTGGCTGGCTGCTGGCTTATTAAGCGGATGTGTTTATTTTTAGCGACTGTCAGGCGGCTGTCAGGCATCAAGTTATCACTTTATTAAAAAACGCTTACTCACACTCGCCCCGGAGATAAAACATAAAATAAAAAAAAAAAAAATAGAAGGAAAACGAAAAATAGGAGGCTGGGCCCACCCACAGATACAGTGTTTTACTGCGCAGCAGAAAGGCCTAAACCAACTTTTGCTTATCTCTGCGTTGGCGTTTGCCAAGACTTTCCAAATGGAGGAAACGGAGACAGCGGCTGGGACAGCGGCGGAGATGAAGACAAAGAATACGAAAACGCTAAAAAGAAAAGATAATATTTGCTAGTAGTTTTCGCATTTCCGCTTTGTTTTAACGTTTCACTTGAATTTATGCAATGGCGCGTGTCCAACGCAGCGTATACGTAATGGCTGGCACTCAAAGTGCCACTAAAAACGACAGCGACAGCGAGAACGACAACAAACAATAACGACAATATTTCTTACAGCTCTGCTCCTGCACAGTGGCACTGGCACACTGACCAGCCACAGTCAGCCACACCCACCCAGCCACACACACACACACACTTACACACACCACGCACAACAAACGTGCAGTGCCTCAAGATAAGGCAACAAACTGTGGGCAGCGATAAGATGGCGTGGCACTTGAGGCGACACGTTTTGGGCTTGGCTGTCGTGCGCATGACTTTGCATTTTGGTTTTGTTACAGTTACGGTTCTGGGTTTTTTTTTTTTTTTGGTTCAGTTTGTTTCTCCTGCTTCAGGACCGTTTTTTTCCAGTTCCTGCCGCAGCTGCCAGCACAGTAGTTGTTGCTCCTTTATGGCCGCCAACTTCGTTGTTTGAGTCCTGAGAGCGCAGGAACAACGAAAATTGTTGCCTACTTACGTGCAAAGAGCTAATTGCAAGCTGCACAAATGTATACTTACACGGGGCAAAAATGTTTTAATTTAAAAATAATATCCAAGCGACTTTCTCTGCCTTTGAAGGTTTTTGAAAAAGGAAGTCTTAAGGTTGGATTTTTAATTATTCTCTTTTAAAACTCTTTTCAACATGCACTTTAAAGGATGTACAGGAACTTTGACATGAGTTATTTACAAAATTATTTAAACTTAATCTGAAATTATCAGGTTATATTAGATATGATAATATGATGGATTTTAGGAGAAGATAACAATTTAAACAATAATATTCCAAATTTGAAAGTAAACATTTTTTTAAAGAGTTTGGCTTTCACCTATATCTTTGATCATATTCAACTTATAAACGATTTCTGTGTTAGAACATTGTTTGCTATTCCATATTCCAATTACTTTTTACAACAAATATGCTCCTTTATATTTCTGCTAAATATTTAGCTTGCCAAAGGTATGAATAGTTTATGATTTCTTATAAGTACACTTAGTTTAGAAACTCTATTAGAGTTTTACTAGTCAAAAGGGATTCCATATTTAGTATTCAATTAGAAACCACATCAAAGATTGAACTGCCAGTTTTGATACCAATTTAAAAGATAAATATGGAACAACTGCTAGCTTTATATAAATAAATAAATAAATAAATAAATAAATAAATAAATATGTATATCAAACCATGAATTGTCTGCCTTAATACAATTTTAAAAGATGTAAATGGATTCAATTTCCTTTAATATTTCTCTCAGTTTATTTATATTTGCGTTAGTACTTCCACCAAATAGCAGCTCCAGCCTAAAGTTTCTCTCCTTATAGTTTTTTTTCTTGCTCTTTAGCTGCCCTCGGATCAATAGGCAAATATTTGACGCCTCAAGTACGACCTATTGACATTTTCTAGTGCACTTAACGACAAGCACATGTGTGTTGGTATATATTTGGCTGATGTGTATGTGTGTGTGTGTGTGGGGCTGCATAAATTATTTGACAATACGTCGGGCATAATATTAGTTTCACTTAGCCCCATGGCTGAGGCAAAGGCACATTTGCATATTACGTATACGCCACGGTTACGCCTTGAGTTCCATGAGCCGCATAAGCGGCCAAAAAAAAAGGCGAATCGGAGCGGCAATCGCAAAGTTTTTGGCGTGTCCTTCAAGTAATTTTTATTGCAGGCTGTCAAAAACTTATTGACAGCACCTGCCAGCAAAAGTAGCAGCAGGGCATAAATTAAACTTTAATGGCTAGAGCGGAAAGTGTTGGAAACCAGTAACCGTAGACCCGTAACCCGTAACCCGTAACCCGTAACCCGTAGCTAGTAACCCGTAACAATGAATATTGCGCATACGCAGCATTGTACACACTTGCACCCAATCAAAAAACTCAAATCAAATAGCAATCAAAACTTTTTCATTATCAACATCAGACAAGAGGGCCCAAAATAAAAATAAAAAAATAAGTAAAACCGCACTCTATGCGGTGGTATTTTCATACACACATTTATAAATAGGCTGCCATTTTTGCCGTCGGCTTTCGCTTTGATGCCCACGCTGCGTATACACAATGGCCCGCAATCGACTTTGGTTAAAGCTCAAGCGAAGCCGCTGAGAGCCGAATCAGGGGAGAGCGGAGAGGAGAGAGTGTGTCTGTGTGTGTGTGTGTGCAGAGTGGGCTGCGGCACGCCCAGGCTTGATTACAAAAATGATGGCCGACTTTTGTGAGTTGCAAAATTAAAATCGCATCAAATCAGCAAATCAGCCACAACAATTGACTTGCGAATGTGCAAATTGGGCAAAAAAAATATAAAAAAGAAAGAAAGAAAAGAACTGAACATAAATATATCCCCAATACAAATGAAAAGGCTGCCAGAAAGAAAAAAAAAAAAGGAAAGCTGGCAAGGGAAGAGACACTCTGTTGCCGGAAAATGCGCAGGCGCACGCCAAGAGACAAAGTCGGATTTCTGTTTATTTGCAGGCGCAACTTTTATTAAATTGTGATTTTGCTCACCAGCACACAACAGCACGCACACACACTCCGCCCGATTCCTGGGTCCTGTGTCCTGAGTCCTCCCGAGTCCTGCGCCAAGCGCTGTGTATCCAATGGCTTTCGCAGAGTTGGAATAACAACAAACGCGCTTTAATAGCACAGTTTAGCGTAGAATAGACGCAAATAAACAGGCATTGAAGTGCCTGGCGACTGGCAACGGGCCACTGGCAAACTGGCTTATATATGTTTGTGTATCAGTATGTCTGTGCCTGTGCCTGCCTTCATTGCCAGGCACATGCAATAAATATTACATACAAACGCTCGTGTCGGGGGCGCACTTGATGCCGCATAAAGCGAAAGTAGCACACACAGACACGGTGCCATATGAGCACTTAACCTGCAACGACCGACGGTAAGACAAAACGACAAAAAGACAGAACGACAGTCCGCCCAGCGCAATGTCTGCGTCGACTGTCAGTTGAGTTGGTTTTCCAGGAAGCGCTGAAAGTCCCTGCCTCGCACACATAGTAAGCGAAATGCCATATGGAAATGATGCAGAAATAGTCAGTGAAATGCTGTAGAGGATGGCTTCCCTATAAGGATATTTACTATTAATTATAACTCATTTCATAAGCAATACGCAGACAATAAATATATTTAAGAGGATCAAGTAAATTAAACTTGTTTAAAAAAATATTAATGAATCCTAAATAATCTGAAAGAATTCGATATTTATCATTAGCTTATTAAAGCACCTTTTAACTAATATTTTAAAAATATATTAATCAAAAATTGAATAACTTCATAGATGTAGTTTTACTTGACATAAACTTTAATAGGTAGCTTATCAATAAATTGTAAAGAACTCGTCGAGAAATGTCATTATTGTACATTTTATATATTTATCCATTCTTTTAATAGAATAAAATCCTAAAATAATCAAAGATAATCATATTAAAAATGATAAATAATAACAAATTATTATAAATAATTATAAATCTCCTAATAAGACATGTCTAATTGATGGGCTTGATAAGTTTAAAAAGACTTATGTCTCTTACAGCTTATATTATTCATAAATATATAATTGTACATATTTTTCATTAAAGAACTTTTGATATCTTTTGTAAAGCTATATTGTTTTCATTTCACACATACACATTTCTTATACAAAATCAATCGGTTTTCTCCAATAACCAAGATAATTATAAAAAACACTAAAAGGGAGAACCCCCTTTCCCAAAGCGAAAGAGTTACGATGCGAACATCGGTGCATCCGTTATAGTTTCACACTCCATTTACGCGGCCTGACAAATGGCTTACATTGTTTATTGTTAAATCGGAAAACAAAAGAACGCACTAATGAAATGAAACCTCTATTCTTTTTCCTTTTCTCTCGTTACAGAACTGGCGGTGGCAGCATGCTGGGTGACGTAAACATATCCGCTATACTCGACTCCTTTAGTGTTAGTTACGACAAAAGAGTAAGACCCAATTATGGTGGTAAGTAGACCAATCTCCGGACACCCAATCTCAATATATATAAATACATATATATGGTAGCTATCCCCCAGTCACACTTACCCAAAAACGCAACGCGACTTGAACGAAACGCAAATGGGGGCATAGCCCGTTGATATAAGAAATAAATAAATATACGCGATATATCGAGGGATATCGAAGTGGACTTTGTAGGGCGGTTGAGGCGCAGCGGGCATTATAAGAAACAAAACACATACTATCATTATAGACTCTAACCTTTATTCACACATAAACCAGCTATGTAACACCTACTATAACATACGTGTTTGCAGGACCTCCTGTCGAAGTCGGAGTCACCATGTATGTGCTATCGATCAGCTCGCTCTCAGAAGTGAAAATGGTACAAACTAATTGAACTTTGTACCTTTCTATTACCGTTTAAGCGCTCTCTCGCATTCTATCTCTAATTATCTTAACTATCTAACTCCTAACTCTATCTCTCTGTCTTTGGTCTTTGTTGTTGGAGTTCTCTTTTGATTTAAGAATTTTTATTTACCTTACCACAAAACGCATTAGTTTGTTGCTCTCTACCACCCACCCACACACACACATACACCTCTTGATTTCCTGATTTTCTCATTTCCTGTTTTGCTTTGTATGATCTCTATCTCTCTCTATCTCTCCTGATCTGCAAAAAAAAACACTTATCCCAACTTATCCCTAGATAGACGGATCTATATATTATTTCTAACCGTTGACCCAAGTACACCAGTTGAAAGTGTTATTTGCGAACCTTATTCACACCCTATAATATCGCTCCTATTGTGTTTCCTTCCGCTCACAATCGTATTGTTTCCTTATCAGTTATCCCCTTTGGGTACTAAATCTCTCAAGATCTAACTCTTCCGAATGTTTAGTTCGTTTTATAGCCGCTGTGTTTAAGTGTGTGTTGTTCCTTTATTTTAATTCCACAGTTGAATTTGGTTTCATTTCCGAAATGAATAGTTGAGTCCCAAGGTCTGTGTGTGTTAGGAGCAGCGCTGACTCGATGCGAGGGGCCAGAGGCCAGAATTAGTAGGGCAAAATGTTACAATACTCCCCTCTAACCCTCCTCTTCAGCATCGTAAACACATTGTAAACTAAATGTCAACTCCTACTTTCTGTCTCTCTCACTCTCTCTTTACATCGAAACCAACGATTGGCAAAAGCTTTTTATGTTCCTTAAAGTCTACGAAATGACTTCCTTCTGTGCTCACTACAGTTCACTTTTACCTCTGTGTGTGTTTGTGTATGTCTAATTGGCCAAGCACATCGAAATTACCCAAAAAAAGAAAAACACACTCTCACACACACACACACCTATACGCCAGTCCCAACAACAATAAAGAAAAACACCAAACATTTCAACCCTTTCGGAAAAAATCACAAAAACATAAACTAAAACCTAGCGAAACTCGTGCCTCTCACTTTATGCGTATTGTTTTATGTCTTCTTCTTTTTATAGGCCCACATAACACATTCAAAGCTTCAAGATATCAAATCGCAATTCCCCAAAAAAAAAAACAACAATAAATAAAACATATAAAATATATATATATAAACAAATCTCTCTCTCAATCAAAATAATGCAAAACTGAAAAATGGTGTGTGAAATCCGCTAATTCACTTCAATTAACATTTAGCTATCATAGTTATTTATTTTTGCTAGGCGCATTTGTTATTACCAACTGCAACTCTTTCGTATAGCTGAGCTAATGAAAACATATAAATATATATATACAACAATAAAAAAAGCAAACTAGAGTAGTTACTGATTTGGTTTTCATTCGGCGCGTGCAATCAACTGAAGCAAAAGCCTCCAAACACAAATTTAGTAGAGCCACAAGAACAACTGCAAACAGCAAGAACAACCAAAATAGAAAACAATTATACAAAAGAATTAAAATACAGAGCAACAGCAAAAGCACCGCTTGCCAGTTTAAGTGTTAACCGTACATTATATATTTAATTTTGCTAATGGAAATTAAACAGCACCCGACGATGTCGATGTCGATGTCGATGTCGATGTAGAGCCCAGGGAAGGGCGCTCGAAAGTAGGCAACGAAAAGTGTCAACAGAAATGTCCTGCGTTCTTCGTACACCACGTCCATTGTTCCCCCGTACCGACCGCTCTGTGTGTGTGTTTCCGTTCTCATATATAATATATATTTTGGGTTTTAGACACATCCACTGCCACTAACAATTAACAAACAACGACAACTAAAACAACAACAACCATACCAATACCAATACCAAACGCAAAATGAAAATTCCATCAATCCGTGTGTGTGTATATGTTGCAGGTCCCCCTGTGGAGGTTGGCGTCACAATGTATGTCCTCAGTATCAGTTCGGTTTCGGAAGTTCTCATGGTACATACGTAAAAATATATACCAAATACAAAACTAAAAAAATACAAACAAAAAATATAAATAATTAAATTACAATTAACAACAGATACAAACAAATGATCCTAATTTTTTCCGTAAAAGCAAACAAAAAAAATTCATAATTCTACTCGTATACTTCTTAATTTCTCTCAGTCTCTCTACCTCTTACCTGTAACTATCTCTCGCTCTCTCTCTCTCTCTCTCTGTCTCTCTCTATAACTCTATAAATACATATCTCTGTCTCTCTCCCACTATATGTTTCTCTCTCTATGTCTGTCTCTGTTGCTTAAACGCTCATTTTGTGTCTTAGCATATTTATTAATACTTTTCATTTCCCCAAAATTGGCAAAAAGACATACAAATTCTTTACTTTGATTCACTTACGATTCTGTTTGTTTCGTACATTCAAAGCAAACAAAGCAAATTATATATATATGCAGTATATAAATACAATATATCTATATACATAAATACCAATATAAATATATACAAAGTTCTACAAATTAAATGTTGTGTGAAACGAATTGTTATTGCAATGCAGTCGACTTGCCTCATTGCCAAATATGAAATTCCCGTGTTGCATATATTCGTTTTGTATTTATTGTTTCAATGTTGATATCAATAGGCCCATGGTGTTCGCATATTGTTTGTTGTTTCATTATTGAAATTTATGAAATCCAATGCTTTTCAGCCAGAACAATGCAAAACCAAAAATAATACAAAGTACTACAGTTCTAAATTTACATTGAAATTACCCAAAACAGAATTCCACACATTTTGGTGTTTATCTTAGAGGCGAGTCCTTGTGCTGCTCGCTCTCGCCCTCTCTCTTTCTACCACACTCTGTCTATCTCACTCTCAATATGCGTTTTCTGAACTGTCGCTTTGAAATGCCATTTCCATTTGCTCATTTACTTTTGCCACTTTTGTTTCTTTGCCTTTATTGCATCCCCATCTCAGAATATTTTGCAGAAGAAAAAATATACCAAGAAAGTTAATCGAACTTAGGAATGGCAAATATATCGAATTTATCAGTCAAGACATTCCAAATCTTAAATAATTTTATATATTTTTGATATTACCCTGATATAAGCGATACTTGTTCGATGCTTCAACTGTCGATTGTTAATCGATAACCACAGACTTATATCCCTAGTCCGAATCTTCATTTATCGCCTCATCGAGTACATGACACACCAACATATACACTGACACAATGTTGGGCCCCCCACCATCCCACCCCCCCAGAGAAACGAGAGATATTTATGCCATATTCATATATCTACTATATATCTATAATCTCATATAACCGTCATTCTGTTTGTTGTGATCTGGTCAAATGCAAATGAACTAAATTCGAATTATTCACAGCAGTCCCATTGACAGAGGCTGCGCGCATGCGTATTTGTTAAATCAAGATGAATATGAATGAATATCAATATCCACACAGCATATACTACAATAGCAAATAATCAAGCTCGGTGTCGATGTGTTCGTCAAATGATAATGGACTTGACATACATACATGTTACAAGGGACTAAAACTATACTCATTTATGCCTGTTTCTGTGTATTTTTTTTATATTTTTCCTTTAGCGGGGAATGGCCAAAAAATAAACTATACTTTATGAGCCTCAAATTCATATTCTATAAAATAATATTGGATTTCTTAATTATTTTATGAAATTTACTCTACGACTTTATGAAATTATTAATTATTTTGTGTACGTCGCACGTTCTTATTGGTTTAGTGTTATTTCAAGTATTTCAAAACAGCTTTTTCAAATTATTTTTAATTAAATCTAAAGTATATGCGAATAAAAAAACCTGTGGGGTCATAGAATTCTAGGACTCAGGAGACACTCATTTATTTTGTTTAATCTTTGTCATTGATCTTTCCATCACTGAAATTCTGAGTGTGACAAAAAGAGAGAATCTGAAATAATCAAAAAACTTACCTCAATTGGCATACACGAGACTTCAAAGATACTCCAAAAGATTCGTTGAGAAAGTTGCAAGATCGCACCTAAGAGGAACTCATTAAGACACACATTATTACACTGATTTTACTGCACTCCTGCTGCATACACGCAACGAGTCCTTAAAACACATTCACTTACATTTCAGAGGCACTAATCGGAAAAAAGTGGTATTTTAACCTCTCCTAACAAAGTGACTAAGAATTTGCTATATAGTACACTGTTGTACTTTGGCTCTTTCACTATGCACAAACATATATCATATTTTTAGTCGCATTTTTCAGAGATGTTACATATCCAACTATTCCTTCGCTCTGAAATCATCACTATTTTACCTTAAGGAAATGTTCGTATGACATAAATGAACCAACACACCTGCACCGTTTTGGCTTTGGCAATCAATTTATGCGAAAATAACATGCCCAACACGAACATAAACATGAACACACTGTCACTGCCACAACGCCACTGCCACTATATACAATCCACTAAAGAAAACACATTAACAAGGATAACAACAGCAAGAACCACACCAAGAATAACAAGAACAGCAACAATAACATGTTCATTTTCAGCCCGATCATTTCTCCTCCTCACATGACAATTTTTCATTTCCACATTTTGGGTACCGGCAACAAAAACAGAATTGCTACGCTGCTAATGAAAATAATTCAAAAATAAACTGAGCCAATGCCAAACCGAAACAAGAACAACAGCCCGCGTACACACACACACACACGCATAAACAAAAAGACACTGATACAGAAACCGATACACTGGGAAAAACTCGTGATTTAAGATTCCAATCTATTTCTTAAAATTTTTCAGAATTATTCAATTATTTTTTAAGTATATTTTGACAGTCTCTAAAGAGTTTTCCATACACTTTCTTAAATGAAAAACTCATGTTTCTGGTATCTATTTCTCCCTGTGTACACAGTGACAAATTTACATAAGACAACCCATCCAATCCAATCCAAATTCAGGCGAGCAGCGAGGCAGTTAAAATCAACATGACATGAGGTTACATCCAAATGCCAGCAGACAAAAAATAAAGAATACTGTAACAAGGACCAAATACACACAACACACACCCAACCGTCACACAAACAGATATATATATATACACATATATGTATGTAAATTGTAAATGGTATAACGAGATATATAAAAATAAAACAAACAACTCGATAGACCCGCTCACGTTTGGGGTTTAATTGTGAACCATCTATATATATAACATATAAACCGCCATGCACATAAGTATCCGTATTTAGAGTTGATTTTCTGTGTGTGTGCCAAGAATATAAAAATAAGAATAGAAATCCAGGTTGACCCCCCCGTTCCAACAGAACCCTTTTTTTGCAACAACAAAAAACCGAATACGCCCCACCAGAAAAACAGAGTTATGAAAATTGCATAATCCACACGAAAATTTCATTTCCGTTTTCAATTGCGCTTGAGTTTTGAGTTTCGTTCTCGTTAACATTCTTGTGTTTGAGTTTTTGTTTTTGGGCGTGCCAAGAACCGAGTGGAAACCAAATCTGCTAGTTGCAAAAATAAATATATATATATATATACTTATATTCCGGCCATATAAAATGCGAGTAACGCCAAGGAATACAAAAAAAATTGCAAGCAACCCACGAGAGCCGTGTGCAATTTTCGCAGCATAAATAATACACGTAGCCATATAGAAAATACGTATACGCCATGTAGGCACATCAGCGTGCGTTAAAGTACTCGACAAAAGTACCCAAAAAGCAAGCAAAGTGTGCGCTCCTCTCTATAAATATTTATAACTACTTACAAATGTTATTACCTGCTACAACAGCTCCAGCTACAGCTACAACTACTATTATTATTACATTTGCATTTGCATTTACCTTTAACATTTACATTTACATTTTACCTTAACATGCTTTTCCGTTTAATTTTTGGTTCCTTGTCGGCCACGTGACGCGCTTGAAGATAATGATATGCAAGACTGAGAGAAACAACTCGAGTAGTTGTCTTTATCCGCCCCCTCTCGACCCCAGAAACAATACCCATATTCAGACACACACACACACTCCATCCACCCACCCAGAAACAAACACACAGAACCAGATACAAAACAGAGCCTGAAACACAACCAAATTGTTTGTCGTTTTACAATTCAAATCCAAACCAAACCCCCCAATCGAATCCGGTTCCAAACTAAACCAATCCCAGAACGCTTAGCTTCGAGGCACAAACAAAAAAGAGCCAAGCCAATAGCCAACGATACTGTATACTGTATAAAGCGTACAAATAACTACCTGCCAGCCTGTTGCCATAGATGCCATCATAGTAGTCTAGTAATAACCCAAGCCCCTTTTTAGTAGCCAGAAAAGCCAAGCTACTTCACAATCACTGCAACGAATCCATACGAATATTTGTGAGAGGTTTCCGTACTACTTAAATGCTTACCCTACGATCCCCAAAAACCCCCCAAATGCTACTGTAAATAAGCTTTACTTTCATTTGTTTCTTTCGGTACTTTTCCGTTTAGTTCTTTATTATGACTTTTAAGGATCTCATTACCGTCCCCCGCCCAGTCCGTGTCCCCCACGAAAAACAAGCTGTAAAAAGTTTCAATTCGATGTTTTGCATGCCCTATATCCCCCTATGTCTTCCTGTACAAAAACTTACGAAAAAAAAAGAAAATTGTTGCACGTTATGAATTTTCCTTGGTTTACATTTGCCGCAAGTTCTTTTCCTTGTATGTTCGTTAAGTGTATCTGTTGTGCCCAAAAGAAATATATGAACAACTTTCCGCCTAGTTTCCACAAATTTTCTCTACCCATTTCCTATCTATGAATTTTTTTAGTTGATCAAAAAATAAATTATAACACACACGACTTTTAGTTAATAGCCATTTAGTTATCTAGAACTATAAGTGATCACTGCCAACGTTTACTAATATGATATAACCTCTCAATCTCTTTTTGCTACCTTTCCCCCTCTTAACCGAAATCGAAATCGCGTCGAATCGAATTGTGAATTAAATAGGACTTCACATTGGATTTTTACTTTCGTCAATTTTGGACCGATCCTCGTTTAGCGTATAGAAAACGACCTGGTGTAGAAACACTATCGGTTGGATCAGAGTTCATTAAGAATATTTGGGTACCTGACACCTTTTTTGTAAATGAAAAACAATCATATTTTCACATTGCAACAACCAGTAATGAATTCATACGTGTACATCATTCTGGATCGATAACAAGAAGTATTAGGTAAAAACCAACTCAACTACTGCAACTCCCAAACTCTAAGCTCTCAATGAAAGCGCATAACATAAACATTTTAATTGTCTGTATATGTGTATGTGTATTTAACTACTTTACAAACTAACCCTACTACAATCAAAAACCAAAAACAAACCCAAAAAGAAACAACCTTAAACCTTGAACCAAAAAACCTACAACCAAAAAACAAAAATAAAACTAAACAGCAAATACTTCCAACATTCTACCTCTACCTACTAAAGATTTCGTTACAAACAATTATAATTTTGCCCTTCTTGCAACTAACTTTTTTCTGTGTGTGTATAAATCGATGTTGTAATTTACTAACTCTAAAATGAAAATGGAAAATTTCTACAGAACGAAACAAGAGTTTTCTTCCAAGCGTAAAAACTAATGAAGTGAGTTCAATTGGCAAGTGAAAGTGAAAGAAAGTTGGCAAATTTCGAGCGATTGTCTTTGAAAACCGTATCTTATTAAAGAAAAGTCATCGATTAGGAAAGGAAACAATACTTTCGGTGCTATCGACTTTATCGACTACAAAACCAACAGAGCGACTGTACCTTCCGCGATATCGATTGCACCGACTATGACTTTACTTTGAGTTATAATTTTTACTAGATTGGTTATTTCTTGAAGACTATATACGCGAAAAGATATTCTAAATGTTTACCCAAAAGCATTATATATATATATATATATATATATATATATTCACTCGATTGGCTGGTGAAATCATTACTCATTCCATACCATCCTTAGGATGAAAGTGTTCTGTCCCTCACATCCCCAACTGAGTGGCTCATGAAGTATACAAACGCATATTTAACCCTCACAACAAATCACAAGAATCAGCAATCAGTAATCTACAATCGTTTATCGCTTATCGTTAATTGTTTATCGAGAAACCATCGCATATCGGGAATCGCATGACTATCGTGTATCTGACACCGCAAAAAGGTTTGGGTACTGGGCGCTCTATTTTCTACTACCTTTAAACAAGAATCTGTCCAAAATCGCAGAAACCACAACAAAAAAAACCCCAGGTGCCACCAATAATGACCAAGCAACAGCCGTAGCCAAAAGCAAGAAAATAAGTATGATTAGCGTTTTGTTTATCGTAGCCCCAAAGCCGCAATTAACTCAACGAACTATTAAGTAAGCCAAAGCCTACCATATGATAATGTACTAAAAACCCTGCGTAAGAGCCAATAATATCGCCTCACTATCTACAACTAAACTGCCACTCAAAGTATCTCTCACTTACCAAAATAAAACAAAGCAGCAAAATTATATATATATCGAATATAGCTCATATCCAATTGAACTCGCTCTGTATGTAATGACTTGATATATTCCCCCAAAGAACCCAAGAACAAAACCCCCCGTATATGTTGTGTGTAAATAACTAAATAGATTGCCATTTTTTGAACCCTCTGCTCGTTTGTTTGTTGATGTTCACCTGGATACCAATGAACCCTTTACTAATCGATTAATCTTTCTTTCCCAAACCAAAAAAAAAATACTCACTATAACTCCTTTAGATTGACTATCACCGCATCGTGTCCGATGAATCTACAATATTTCCCAATGGATCGCCAGCTGTGCCACATTGAAATCGAAAGCTGTAAGTACTTTGATCTGAATTGCCACCTAATTCTAGCCAAGTAATGATAATGACAAGGAAGGAACAATAATCATAATAATAGCAATAATGAAAATTGTCAAAAAAAAAGAAAACGAAGAAAGAAACCATGTGAACAAAGCAAGATGTGTGAACAACAACTCATTCAGAATGTCGGCTGGGGAGTGGCCAAAATAGGGTGTTTTTGGCCCCTAAAATAATCATTACTTTCCAGTGCTGTCAATTGCTTTGCCTTTCAACCATATCTCTTGCACTCCGTTTTGGCCACTCCAAAGAAAGCCAAACTCAATTCAGCTTAGATCAACTCTCAAACAAAGGCCGTGCGCTGTTTGTTCGGTGTGGGCAGAAAATCGATTAGAAAACAAGTTTATGTGAAAGAAACCAAACAGAAACAATTAAAATGCAAGCAAGTAAATTTTAAGTGCCACAGATACAGATACAGATACATTTACAGCACAAGGGAAACACACACACAACCCGAACACACAACCTCAATTCGATTGAGGAAAAGCAATTAAGACGCCTTTGATGTCAATTGTGAACAGAGCAATTATGTTGCAACAAATGGATGGCAGGAAATCGAATTGAATACAATTGAATTGTCTTTAGGCAGAGCTTATAGGTGGTAAAGAATTTAATTTCGGGTTTTCCTTTGCGGTCAGTGGAATTAATTCGGGCTTAGCTCTCTAGGCAGATTTGATTTTATTTGAAATATGTCTGATTTAAGTTCGTTGTGCATATTTTGTTCAACCAAAAATTGTCCCCTCGCCCAACCAAAAATCAAATGAAACCACAACCAACTTTCATTCAACTAGTTCCAGTACCCCCCTCCACCCTTTGGTCATTTATATATTTGTTTTTGAACCCACAAAAAAAAAAAAAAACGAAACAAAACAAATAAGTTTAATCAAATAAAGAGTCACTGAGATGTAAACCCAGTTCATGTGCATTTTTATCAGAATCAACCCGAATGTATAACCCAACAGCAATCAACCAGTTATCAGTATCTATATAATCACAATCAACAAACAGTTCACGATATCATGGCGCTGAATTCATAAAGAAGATTGGTTGGTTTTCGGTCGCCTTCTCAATTTCAGCAGAAGGCTCCACACAACACCTTGAATATTGATTGATGATCTGCCACCAGATCTTATGAATATGCGTAACCTTTGACTTTCCCCTCTTTTCACAACCCTATTAAGTCTAAGTCTAGTATAATACCTTAATATAAGTCAGACCCCATACACAGCACGCTTTTGCTTAAGATCTAACTATATTGTATATACGTTCAGTATGCATATCATTTATGTCCCTAAATTTCTGTGTCACAACTCGCCCCTAGGGATGGCAAATCGATACCCATTTAATTTAGAATTTGTAACTTTAAAATTTAAAATTCTTGTAACGATTTTTCATTAAATTTTACATCTAAAATTATATGTCAATATCGCAATACTCGAATACAATGTTTTCGATATCATATCGGATTTTTCTTACCGATATACATCCCTATTTGCCACACAGATACATAAATCACACTATAACGAACAGAATCCTAGCTTTTAAGACTGTATTATTCATTCAAAACCCCACATCGAGTGCGTGAGTTAAGTATTCTGTGTGTGAAAAGTCCCCGAAACAAGCTAAATCCAAACACACCAAATACCCAAAACAGAACAAAACTAAACAAATAACATCAATTAATTAACTACTGCCCCCTTTTTGCAACAACAACAACTACTACTCCAACAACTACTACAACGATCGAACTATCAACAATCAACAACAACAACATGAAGTCGGTTACACGATGCGAGATATCCGATATTTCTGGAGAGATGGACTGAGTAGTGTTGGCATGAGCAGTGAGGTCGAACTACCGCAGTTCCGAGTTTTGGGACACAGGCAGAGGGCGACCGAAATAAACCTAACCACAGGTACCCCCATACATTACAAAATCATAAAACCAAATAAAACAAAAATATATATATGCAAAAAAAAAATTATAACATCAATATAATCACATTACCATATTCTTTGTTCTTTTTTTTAACAAGCATTTTTACCAAACTGAACTTTTTCCGTTTTGTCGTAATAAATTTCGTAATCGTATCTTTATTTTGTGTGTTTCCAAAAAATATATATATATTTAAAATAAACAAAGGGTTAGCGCATATCCGTCGCACCTTAAACCCAGCAAAAGTTTTATGTTCTTTTCCGTCTACTTCTACTTCTACTCCTTCTTCACCAATATATATTTATCAATATAACTTTATCGAGTGCTAACCGTAACTTGTGCTACTAACCAGAAATCAAACCAACCCCCATTTAACATATATATATATTGTGTTTGAAGTGTCCTCTACTAACCTCTGTTGTGACTACTACTCGTTGATTTCATCTTAATTCTCTATTCTTCTATTCCTTTGGTTATATGTTTTCTGTGGAATTTCAAACCGATTAACCGATTATCCGTTTAACCGATCAGTAAAGCAGCAGTTAGTGGCGTAGTGAGCGTTAGTTAGGCCCAGCGATTATAATTTTTCAGTTCCCCCATTACAGTTTGAGTTTCACATTTTTGTTAATGTTCCTCCAGAGTCGGAAGAGAGTCCAGATTCGTTTGCTTGGGTAGGCAAAAGCAACAAAAACGCTTACGAAAACTAAGAAACTACTTAAGTAAGGGCCCGAAGACATTGTAAAAGCCTATAGCTATATATCATATATAACTACTATATAAAAATAAACAGAAGACACAAGAGCACCCATTTCTGACACCTAGACATAAGCGTAAGATTTACTAGTCATAAGCAAACCCTACTACTGCCAATAAGAACAAACAGTAGCTGTAAGTCAACCAGAGCGTGCCTACTAAATGCTCAGCCTCAACCTTAATCCTAGTTATGCTTTGCCAATGGATATCAAACAATATTATAATGCATTCTTAGCGCAATTGTAATATACGAACAATTCATAATCTTAGTGTTTCTTCTCTCGATGGAATAAATCAAAAATATATTTTTGAACAACACTTAAAGCGACAAGTTCTGAATGAGACTATTAATCGAAAGAAAAAGAAAACTAACAACAACAAAAACCGAATCGAAAATGTTGAAAATATATTACAAAAAAAAAAAGAAAAAATATATATAAACAAAAAGAATACACACTGCAAACGAAACGAATTGTATTTGAATTGTTATGAAATTTTCTAAATGATAGAATAGAACTTATTAATAGTCTCACGAAATGTATTTTTTGTTTTATGCATATTTTTCGTCAACAACAACAACGACAACCTCACCAACGAACTGTGCCTACAACAACAACAACAACAACTACTACTACAACAACTGCTACTAAAACAACTGTATAATAAACTCGCCCAACAACAACTAAATCCTAAACAACAAAACCAAACACCAAACTGTACAAAATGCAATTTGCAAACATAACAACAATTACAACGAAAACAACAACGAAACAACAATAACTACAACCAAACTATATACACCATATATAGTCGGCTACACGATGCGTGACATCCGCTATAAATGGAACGAAGGCCCCAACTCGGTCGGTGTCTCGAGTGAGGTTTCGCTGCCCCAATTTAAGGTCTTGGGTCATCGCCAAAGAGCTATGGAAATCAGTCTTACCACAGGTACCTGTAGACGGTTACCGATTTTCTTTCAAACTTTACTTTTACCTATATATTATATATTTACGAATAACTACCGATGATGACTTATCTTATATATATATATATAAATATATATCTATTATATACCATATACTATATCGGGGGTGCCACAATAATCGCTGGTAATTTGAAATCACGTTGAAAGTGCATCCAAAAGTGTGTAACAAAATTATGCAATGCAAAGAATTTAAATATTTGTGACTGCATACTTTCGGAATTACTTTCCAGTGATATCAAAAAACACACAAGAAGGTGCCCAAAAGTATGCTATGATTTCGTTGGCTTCACAAATTGGTGAAGTACGAACTACATTTCTACATACTTTGGGGCTTATGTTTAAGTGAATCCAAATCACTAGAGACTTCTGTGTAGCATCCCTGCATATAACTATATCAATTTGATTTTGCGTTTTCAATTCAATTCTACTCTTGAGGCTTTTACTTTTGTTTTATTCAGTTATTTATTTCTCGATTCGAACTAATTTTCAAACAGCATTTTGTACAATGTTCTCCAAATTCAATAGAAACAAAAAACAGGCTTGCCAATTAACTTGGGCTAATTTTCGGGTGAATGGAAACCTGCTTCAAGCACCCGCCTCCTGATTAAGTCAATCAGGGAGAGAGAAAGTGCTTCAAGCAGGGCGATTCCAGAAAAAAGCATGTTAAGCATCCAACGATTTTTACATAATTTCTTTTTTCCATTTAGCTAGCGTTTGTTTCATCAACTAATCTACTCCATAGCATACCAAAATACAAAGCAATAAAGTTAACAATTCAATAATAATAATAATAATAACATTAACAAGTGCATTTAGCATTAGTCCACTTCATAGTCTAGAGTCTAGACGGCCTGATAGACTAAGACGCGTCTTAAAGCTTCTCCCACTTTAACTCGTACTTGTACCTACCGGATACTGTTCATATATCTTTAAACGCAAAATCAACGCATGTTACAAGCTAGCAACAATATTTCGATTTTGTTTATCAAATTGATTTTCCTTTCCGCTTTCTTTTTTCCGTTCGAATCTTAGTTAATTCTGCTTGATTTCAACGCTCATAAGTTCATACTTTACTGCGAACCAAGACAATAACGGAAGTCCCATAAAAATAGAATTAAAAATCATTGGCAATGCCAAAATCAAAGCAACAAAAAATGAAAAAAATCTAAAAGAATCAATATGCAATTGAAAAACAATTCACTTAGCGAACTTTGTATCATAGAAAACCAAAAAAACAATAAGCAACAATGAAAATGATCTTATGCAAAAAAAAAACAGAGAACATCTAAGTAATTGATTATAGCAAAGCTTAATTGAATATGGCTTTTCCTTAGTAAATCATGCTTTTGATTTATGCCTGGCATTATTACAACAACATAATCTATTCCAATTTTTAAGCTGCCAAAACACCAACACACTCATACTCACACATACACATATTTTGATAACTAGTCACAGAAATTAGTTTTTACTACCAAATATAACAACAACAGCTATCTACAAAAGTAATTACCAGTAACGCTATCGAAACTCATTAGCATTATCGAACAACAACAACTACAACGACAATCAACACCAAACATTCTGTATTGTAAATCAACAACAACTACAACAAAGCATTAATTAATATTAAAATCCCGTATCGACAAAAAAGTAATGCAACATCAATTAAAATTCTACTCAAATCCCATAAGAAAAAGTCTTTAAACCTTTTCTCAACCAAACAATAAAAGTATATAAGAACCAATTAAAGATGCTAAATTAACAAACGAGAAACAATAAGAAGTTCAAAATCACTTATATACATACTATTTATATATATATATATATTTATATATAACAAAGTTTAAAAAAATACCCTAAAAATATATATATATCGAGAAAACAAAAAAAACGCCCTCCCAAGCATGCTCTCATCTTATAAAGTTTCTTTTACAAAAAAAAATACCCTCTAACAAAATAAATATATAACTATAGACAACCAAAAAATTGCAGGCAATTCAAATGCTCCTTATTAGGTCTTAGACTAGCTGCCTCTACTCATATTTACTTATCGTTTTATTTACCTTACTTTTCTTGAGATTTTGCAGTCAGTTTTAGTTATCCTATATAATGCAAGCCACTTCTATTTCTCAAGTATTTCATGACTAACCAAACTAATTAAATATTTTTCCCTTAAAAAACAATTATATGCTTCGGTTTAGTCGAAGTGTAGAGGGGTACTTGCAGATATACAAAAATAAATAATAGTAAACTGTATAGAACTGTATATTTTTAATTAAAAATGAAAACTATTGTAAGCAGCTGAAAAGTATGCTGTACTTTTTGGTTTATATTCTGCAAGGACCCCTTGTGGAATGCTTAGAATATTTCTTAAAGTTTAGTTCTTGACCCTAGCTTTGACTTGACAATTTGCCAATTTTGTTTCTAGCCCAATATTTAAGTACTTAAATCTGTTTATTGAAGTAATGCCTGCCTGATAACGAAGCGTCGCTTAGATCGAGACTAACAATATTTTCAGGAAGGTGCCAGCCTCTCATAATTTCACATAAAAATGCGCTCATATACTTGATTTATTTATACTCTATTTTTAGAGTTTCAGTTTGGTTTGAACTTTATTTTGTTTTATATGGATTAATACTTATTTTGTTGGTGAAGAATATCTACTAATATTGTTTGTAAATAATTGCAAATGAAATTGATTTCAGCGAGCAAAATACTAATAATATTTTTATATCTCTCTACTCTTTCTCTCTCTCTCTCTTTCTCTTCCCACCCGATCTTTTCAAAAACACGCTGAACGAAATGATAAATTATAAATCGAAATGCGAAAAAAAACAAAAAACAAAATAATAATATATAACGAAATACAAAATACAAATTAAACAATTGGCGAGGGCAGGCAACTATTCGCGATTAGCCTGCGAAATTCAGTTCGTGCGTTCGATGGGCTACTACCTTATACAAATCTACATACCCTCTGGACTGATCGTTATTATATCATGGGTATCATTTTGGCTCAATCGCAATGCAACGCCGGCGCGTGTGGCGCTCGGTGTGACAACCGTGTTGACAATGACCACTTTGATGTCGTCAACAAATGCAGCGCTGCCAAAGATTTCGTACGTCAAGTCGATTGACGTCTATCTGGGAACATGCTTCGTTATGGTCTTTGCCAGTCTACTGGGTAAACAAATCAAACTACCAAAAAAAACTAGTACTACTACTACTTAACCCCTGAAAACCGATTCCGAATTCCAAACCAAAGACCAAAAAAAAATCAATTAGCAAAACGAATATTACCCCATAAATCTCTCTCACACAACAGCCCACACACACACTCTCTATCTCTCTCACATACAGGCAGATGTGAATTCCAAAATTTTGTTCACTTTGTTTCGCGTTTCATTTCCGTTTCCGTTTTGATTTCAACCATTTTTTCCGGTGCGCGCCCTTAAGTCGACAGAGTGGCGCGCCATCTTTGAGTTTTCGTTTTTCGTTAACAGAAACTAAAAGAAATAGAAGACACACACACACACACCTTTGCCAGCTTTCCGTGCCACGCTTAGCGTCACAGAAGAAAACAATCTTGCAGATACATCTTTACACACTCTCTAGTTTCCCAGGCAAAACTGCGGCAGCATCCAGAGAAATTTCCAAATAAAATGTAAACCCCATTCGAAACGCGCTGTCCAGTTTTGCCCTTCCACTGTAGTAGTTTAATCTTTAACTCTAAAAAAAATCTTAAATCTTCAAAGATTTCACATTTCTTATGGAGCCAAAAGACCCTGAGCGTCTATCTATAAGGATTCTGAAATGCACTGCACCTGAGGCACTGTAAATGGGTCAGGCCAGCTTGAAATATATATTTTAAATTCGATTTCAAAACCCAATTCGTTTAAAAAAGCAGTTTAAAACTAAACTCCAAAATTTTCTTTAAAAATATCTCAAGCTTTGATGCCGACACCCGGTCGAAATGCTAACTTTAACTTTCTCTCTAACTATCTAACAACTAAAACAATTCTCAAGCAACAACTTACACCCACAACTACAACAACAACTCCAACAAACAGCAACAACAACAGCAAGAAAAAAAAAAGAAATAAGAAAAGCTAAAGCTAAAGAAAAGAAACTGCAAAGAAACCCAGAAAGAAAAAACAAATCTCTTTTTCGTATTTGTATGTTCTTGTTAATTTTTCAATACAAAGAAAAACTATCATCCAAAGAAAATGTATGCAAATTCATAGATACGCGCCTGCAAACCGAGCGTAAAGGCACGAAAATTTCCCCCCAAACGTCCCACCCAAAAAAAATATACAAAACAACAACAAAAATATTAAAGGGAAACCCCAAAAAACCCCATAACCGTTTTGCACATCGCACCTAGAATCGAAGCATGCTTCAGCCTCAAAAGACAACAAAAAAATCCAATTTCCAAGCCACATTAGCCTCTCTTCATATATACGCCCGTATATATGCCCATTTATATACATATATATATACTATATATAGCCTATCTATAGAGCCGACTCAGGTTGAGCTTGTGTTCAAGAGCACCCCAGACGAGCAAATCTCACACACTTGAGCGAACACACTTCAACCTGAAATGGTACCCAGATATCAATATACGCCCAGCTTCCGCCAAATGCAAAACCGCAAAGCTGCAAATTGCAACAAAAATCGCAAACCGAAAAGAAAAATGTACAAACTAAAACAACGCACCTAAATCAAATCGAAAATCAATACCAATTCAAAGCCCAGGGTACGAGTAGATCGATCAATCAAAACCCACCTGTAACAATTACTGAGAAGGGAGAGCGCAAACCAAAAAAAAAGAAATAAAAAATAAACGAAACCAGCATGCCCTGCGCCACACCTGGCTTGACTCGCGATTGAATTGAATCAAAAAACAAATACAAAAAATATAAGAACAGACACAAAACACTGTAAATATGGTTCAACAAGTCGTCGATCAACAGCCAGAAGACGCAGCCTCCGAAGACTCTTCAAGACAACAAAGAGCCCAAATCAAAAATATAACCGAAAAGATAACGTAGAAAGTGCGCCCAGTTAACAAATATTAAAAAGTATCTTAAAGATACGAGTTTCTGCTATTTGGAGCCTTCAAGTTTGGGTCCTTTAAAGGGGGCCCCAGACATGAAGGCTGCCAAATATGTACAAATAACTTGCACCATTTAGTAACCCCTCAGAGGTTAGGTAAGATATGATTCGTAGTCTGCTTTCTGTTTTGTTTTATGGCTTTTTGCAGCGATTGGTTTAACCCCCATTGGTCCCGGGTAAGTACGCTCGTTACTAGTTACTCGTTACTCGTTACTTCCCCAACCATTCTTCAAAAACACCTTCGGGGATGGCAACAAATATCGATTCATTTTAATTAAAAATAATAGTTACGCGATAACAATTAATAATCGAATTTTTATTTGTTGATTTTAAAAACACTTGAATTTAATTGGGGTTAATTAATTAGGCTAGATATTTTTTATTATATTTTAATATTTACACCTTTTATCGTTGTATATTGAAATAACGGAAAAATATATTAATATTATTTCAATCAAAAATGCTTCTTATATCTAAAGGCATTAATAACAATATTATGATTGTCCGATCTATACTCATCTAATTGTTTTAAAGGTTTTTCTTTGCTTTAATAATGGTTTGGTAACCAAATTTTCGATATTTTCGATAGATATTTATTGCGATTCCTTTATTTCGATATGCCCTTCAAGGCGATAGATATTTTCTCGTGAAATAACATATCGGACTTAGCTTTCCTTCCCCCCTCTCTTTCAAACACATTCATCGGCGAGTATGCGATTATGTTGGACTTTCCCGGCAACACTTAAAAAAATATATTACCCTCCCCAAAAAAAAAAAAAAACAAATAAATATTCAAGAAAAAAACACCGCTCAATCAGTGCGCTCCATTGAAATCTGAATTCGTAACATTCCCAAGGATAATGACAACCGATGTGAAGAGAAGAAAGGAGGCTGAAAGCCTGGAACAAAAGCTTTAAGGCTTAACAAAAACAACAACTAGAACAAGAACAACAACAGCAATCACAACAAAATGATGGAAATTTTCGTGTCCTTTATAACGGGCGTCTCTCTGTTCAATGAATTTGCATTTAAGGCACGCACACGAACATTTTCCTTGAATGATGGTCTCAACTGCAGAAATAAATGTGTACATAAATCGTTTGGCTTACAAATGACTTTTTCCACTCATTTCACAAAAACAATAACAACAGCAACAACATTAACAACAGCAACAACAACAGCAACAACAACTACAACAGCATTAACAACAACAACAACAACCGTCAACACGAACACTCACTCTCACACTCAGACACACTCACACAACACTCTGGCTCTGTCTCTCCTTTTTCCTAGTATATTGCTAACTCACTCACACACCATACTCACAAACACACTCACACGAGACTTGCTTTATTCGAATTTTCCTTTGCCTGGCTAAAAATGGAAATACGAAAATAAATTTCACTTTAATTTTTGATTTCACTTAACCCAGAAACCCAGAAAAAACAGAAAGAAGAAACTAAAACAAAAACACTGAAACAATCAAACAAAATATTTGCTTCAAATGACTCTAAATGTTACTTATAGTAACCCTACCCTTAATCCTATTTACCCATTAAGACTTTACTACCCAAAAGTACACCTTGATCCCCTCTACATACTCCCCCCGATCTCACCTCTTTTAGACGTTGTGCCAAAAAAAAAACAAATGAACAGAAATTGATTGCTAAATTCTTCATGGAAACTAAATTTCTTTTATGTTTTCTATCTTTCTTTATAACCGATAAATATCGATAACCTACCCGCACCAAATTACCAAAAAAATATATATATATACAATGTATACTGCCAACTACAACAACAACAATCCAACAACTATATATCTGACTATATATATCAACTACAACCAAAAATCATCCGTACTTCATGTGGAACTCGAACTCAAAACTCGAACTCGAACTCGACTCAAAATTTATGAACTGCATCTGCATCAAAATCAACCTTCAACTATTTCTACTAAACCCTACCACCCAACCGTATGCCAAACCGTCCATCATCGAATCAATCAATCAATCAATCTGTTCAAAAATGACAAAATTCCAAAAATCAAAAACCGCTCTTTTCAAATATATCTATATATTCGAAATGAAATTTGTCATATCAAAACTTGAATATCAATCATCCAAAAAATCCGATAACCAAAATCGATCAAAACCAATCAAATCGTATATCGTATATCGTATATCGCAATCAATAGAATACGCCACCGTCGGCTACATGGCAAAACGAATTCAAATGCGAAAACAAAGATTTATGGCGATCCAAAAGATAGCCGAACAGAAAAAGCAACAGCTCGACGGAGCTAACCAGCAGCAGGCCAATCCGAATCCCAATGCCACCATGGGCGGTGGTGGTGGAGGAGGAGGAGGCATCGGTGGAGGAGGTGGTGGAATCGGTCCCGGCATGGGTCCTGGCGGACCGGGCGGACCCGGCGGCGGCGGCGTGAACGTGGGCGTGGGCATGGGCATGGGTCCCGAGCATGGCCACGGGCATGGCCATCACGCCCACAGCCACGGGCATCCGCATGCGCCCAAGCAAACAGTGAGTAACCGCCCAATCGGCTTTTCCAATATCCAACAAAACGTTGGTACGCGCGGTTGCTCGATAGTGGGACCCTTGTTCCAGGAGGTGAGATTCAAGGTCCACGACCCGAAGGCCCACTCCAAGGGAGGCACCCTGGAGAATACGGTCAATGGCGGCCGCGGTGGACCCCAATCCCATGGACCGGGTCCAGGGCAGGGCGGTGGTCCGGGCGGCGGTGGTGGTGGTGGTGGCGGCGGCGGTGGAGGAGGTGGCGGACCGCCAGAAGGCGGCGGCGATCCGGAAGCAGCGGTCCCAGCCCATCTACTGCATCCGGGAAAAGTAAAAAAGGTAAAGGTAAAGATCGTAATTAATGCGATTCGGGTTGGGAGAAACTTTGGGGACACATTTTGTGATCGTTTTAATTAAGATATTTAATTTGTTAGAAATATATATAAAGAGAGAAAAAATATATATCTGAATATTTGGAAATGTATGTAGGAGTTTTAAAAATTAAAAAAGGGCCCAAAACTATATTAATAACTATTTCATAGTATAAAAATAGCTGTTTTTCATTGATTTTGGCCCTTAACAATTTTATTTCGCATTTTAAGACAAACTCCTTAAGGGATTTCGAAACCTTAATGAATTCTGAAGAAGAAGGGTTTTTAAATGGCTTAAATGGGTGTCCAAAAAAGTGTTCAAAAATATTTTATTCCAAAATGAAGCACACTACAAGTGTTTGGTTTCGAAATCTTTTAAAAAAATGTCCGAAAAAGTGGTTCCAAATAATTTACTTAAAATTTGGTACTGCAAATATTTTACATCATAATTTTAGACATTTTTTACGGCACTTATCCCTTATTATTTCTTGAGCAAATTAGAAACATTTAGAAATGAATCAGAAATTATTATACTTGAATATTTGGAACCACAATCATTTTATTGAAATGGATTTATCAACGATCTTGATTTTGGTAGCTCCGCCGTATGCTTTAGAATTTCAAATAATATAAAGTCATTAAAGAACTTTTAAAACTTCAGATACATAATGTTAAATATTAAATTGTTATTTAAGTAATTGTACTTATCACAGATCAAAGGAAAGCCTCAACTTGTAATTGTTTCGAAAGCATTCTTTATCAAATTGATTTCTTTAAAAGTACCCATCTAGTTTGTGTAGTATTTCATATTGAACATTAAATTTCTTAGTGAATCCTTTAAGCATTTACTAATTTCTCACTTCCTCTTCAATCCTTAAACCCTTACCCCAACATAATACAGGACATCAACAAACTGCTGGGCATCACGCCCTCGGACATCGACAAGTACTCGCGCATCGTTTTCCCCGTGTGCTTCGTGTGCTTCAACCTGATGTACTGGATCATCTACCTGCATGTCAGCGACGTGGTCGCCGATGATCTGGTGCTCCTGGGCGAGGAGTAAGCTGGGGGCGACGCGTCCCCGAAACGACAGCGGGCCTGGCCCCAAGGACACAGGAGTGAACAGCGCACGAGAGAGTCAAACTGTGCAGGGCGCTGAAAAACCACACAAAATAAATAATGCAGGGGAACCCCCCAAAAAAGGTTCCCAACAAAAAACAAAAAAAAAAAATACACAAAAATAGATACAAAAAAAAAGGAAATAAAAAATGTAAGCGGAAACAAAACTAATTTTAACTAGCGATATGAAAATGCAAAAGGCAAGAAATTATTGTTTAATACCAACAAGCGAATGGAAAAAGGACACACACATATTACAAGGTCGAAAGCAAAGAATATTGTTAAATAGATTTACACAGAAAATAAATTAGAATTAACAAAACCCAAAAGAGTATAAATGAATGAAGAATAATCAAAAGCAACAGATTAGCAAATTGTAGTGAAAATTATATAACGAAAGGCATAAGTGAAAATGTTGAGGAAACCATAACACAAATATAACGATAAAAAATCATACGCAACATAGGCATTAAAAAAAAACCAAAAAACGCGAAGGATGACTAAGGATAACCCTCGAAATAGCGCAGTCGAAAACAAGTTGATTTCAAAAACATAAAAACAAACACAATGTAATAGACAAATAACCAGAGAATGTCCAGGAACATTTCAAATAATGATTTCCAATATCTTTGCGGCGTTTTGAGTTCAAGATTTTTAAGATTAACGAAAGGACCTTTGCTTCCCACTTCAAAAATAAAAATAAAAAACGCAAAACACCCGGAGAGTCTTCCTCTAATTTAAGTGCGTTCTCCCCTTCGTAAAATCCCCTTCTTCAGCTGCACGCTCCCAGAACTCAGAAGCTAAAGCAAATCTAGAACCAGATCCTAACTCACTATATTGATCCATTGATTGCCCATTCAGTTGGTTGATTTGTTTATTCAGAACTGACTTAGCGCTTCCAAGTGAAATGGCCAAATTTATTAGAAATCAAAACGTAGTGCAAAGGAATAAATTTCGACAATTGAGTATCGGTTTAGCGAATGATGATTTCCTTTAAGTTAACTTTACTCTAAATGTAAATCGAACGACGTAACGAGCGGGTTTTTAATCATTTTGCACACACACCCAATAATACGACGAAAAGATGATATTGTTATGAATTACTTTGGAGCGCACCTTTTATAAGCAAGCATCGGAGGATAAGTCATACAAATAGTTAGTGCAATTGACATAGCGAAATAATAATAACAACAACAACATGAACGGTTAACGTTTCATTTTAGTTACACCAAATTTTTATATCAACTTTAACGACAAACTAAACAAAAACAAATTATTCAAAACTGCACTCAATCACACACTCAACTCACGAATCGAATCAAACTCAAAAGAAAAGAAAAAAAAAAACAAAACAATTTTCGAAGACAACTTTGCGGCACCGTAACAAATCAATCTAAAGTCTAAGTGAAAATTTTCAAAAACACAACAACAACGTAAGCCCAATAAAATACCAATAAAATTAAAAACGAAATACAAAATAGCAAATAGAACATGCATAGAAATATGTGTACACACAAGTATGAATGAAACTGCCTAAGAAAATAGCATATAAGTCTAACAAATAGTTGCTAAAAGGAAAACATGAAGAATGGGCCACGAAGATAATTGATTTTCAATTTGTACATAAGACAAAACACACTCGAAACTCGGAACATTCTCAAAGCAAAGTAGGAGCAAAACTTCGCAATTAAACTTAGTTAAAGTAATTGAATCTAGTTAAGCGATTAACTCAGAAAAGTTCAAGCAGTCAATAAAGGGATAAACATACAAGAGATACTTACGATGCACCGTCTTTAGTTAGCCTAAAGATACACAGATAAACACACACATGGTCAGAGCAAAAATATTATTAAGAATAAGATTAGTAACGCCATACTAAATTTAGCAGCATTCTTCTCATTCTTTAAAGACATATTATTTCCAGAAATTCTGCCAAGTTCCTATGAACTCTAGGCCTTTCAAATGTATGCGCGTTATGCATCTTATTCCTCATAATGTCCTTGCTTGGACCCACAAACATACACACACACAGAACAGTATATATATTTGAATTTTCGCTCAAGTTCCTCGATGAATCACATACACAAACACACACACACAAGAATTAAAAAAACAAAATGGTTAAGTTAATTGAACACATAATTAAAGGCAAGTGAGTTTAACTTTAAACGTAAAATAAAGAAATTACAAAATAAAAACGCATACAATTTAGCACAATGGAGATAAAACTAAGCAAAACAACCATACCAAAATATCATCAATGAATTTTAATTTAGTGTTTATGATTAGTGCAAGGGCAGATCGTAAGGCTAAAGAATTTTGTACAGTTAGCTAAAGTTAAAGCTAGGATTTAGTTAAGAGCCATAATATGGCCACACCAAACACACACACACACACTTGTATGTAAATAGACTATGCGCTAAGTGAACACAAGAATATATATGAGATATATATTATATATTCATATATATTATATATAACGTATTTAGGCACCTACGTATATGTAGCACGAGTTTTTTATATGTAAACCAAATTGCCCTAATCCGAAAAAACCAAAAAACAATTACTGTATATACGAAAAGTACTTATGAACGGAACACTGGCAGTGTAAGGAGTGGATCAGCTATGGAACCCTAGATATACTTAAGACGGAGACCCCTAAACCCTTCTCTAAGGACTCTACCTAAACAATTCAGCAGAATGACTACAGAAGATGACCCCAAGGAAAATTACTTTATTAACGATCTAGACCGAGACACAAACAACACACACAAAAACACTTTCACAAGCAAAGGTTTAAACAAAAGTAAAATAAAAAAAATAAAGAAAATGTGAAACAGGTCGAGAAGTCGACTATAGGATACCCTTTAGCCGGTCGTTATCTTTGTCTGTTGTCTGATTCGTCAAACTCTACTCTATTACTCCTATTGTACTGGCTAAAGAGTATCCAAATTAGGATTCAGAGTGGAAAGAAAGCAATATAAGGTTTACCAGAATTAAATTAATTAACTGATTTTTTTATAGTTCTTTATTTTGATTTTTTTGAGCCAAGTGAAATGGATTTGAAGCCAACAGCATTTGATCTACCAAGCAAACACATTCCCAAAGAAAATAGTTATGGCCCAAAATGCGGCGCACACATGAGAGTAAAATCGGTGATAATTGAACATAAATAATATATAGTTTATATCTGCTTAAAAAAACAAATATAAACACACACAGACACACACACACATACATATATATATATACACCTATATATATTTTGTAGCTATACAAAGTGGCAGAAATCAATTATGTTACCAAGAAGACAGAAATCAAAATGTTTATAAAGAGGCGAATATGAAAGTCATTTGTATAAAATAAAACAAAAAACAATGCTATATATTGAGTCTAATCCCCTATATGAAAGTCAAAGTACATTTTTGAAAAGAAGAACAACAACAAATAGCTGCTCAACGGTTTCGGAGCGTATTTCCAAAGAACGTAAATTAATGAAAACAAAAAGAAAAGAACTTTTAGTTTAGTGAAAAACAATGCAGAATAGAGTTGACAAACATTTTAAGACACACAAAAAAACACACTTAATGGCAAGTTGATGCGTTTAATAATTTCATATGGAATTTTTTACTCTACCGAACCTAGTTTACGATTTCATTTGTGTGGAAGCAAAAAGAAAAAAACCAAACAAATTTAGTTGAGAGGTAACTTTTTTATAAACAAATTAACGATGCAAGAAGATGAATAAATAACGCATACGTACCGTGTGCGTATGCGGGAGAGCATTTAGGACAACAACAAAAAAGAAAAACAAAACTAAGAGACGAGAAAAAATTAAGAAACAAAACCAATGAAAATGAAAATGAAAATATGTAAAATGTTAAATTATACACACAATGAAATGTTTGAAGCATTTTTGGTGCTGCTGTTTAGACGGCAGCACCAACACCAACGTTTTATAAAGCAACCGAAAAGGAGAAAATAAATAAGTTAAAAAATTATATGAGAGAGGGTATATATATACGTGACGCGATGTAATAATTACGTATGGATATGTATATGATGTATATTTAATTATATATTATATATGTATGTATGTACGGTGGTCTCAAGAACAAGCAAAAACCAAAACGGGAAATTCTAAAGTATTTAGATAAGCAAACCAACAAGTTGAGAACCTTAGCAATTAAGTTGAATCCACACAGATGCAGTTACACTGACAGAAAAACAACCGGCTCCCCGTTCAAGCAGAGTGCACCGTAAATAATAAAGACATTTTTAAAATGAATTCAAAGTTGAAATGCAAATTATTATTGAGAAATAGTCTATAACCCTAGGCAGCCCAGGCGTGAGGACATTGATATTGATTGAACCATGAATTGTTAGAATGAAGTAACACACACACTAATCGACACAGACACACACACTTATGGTTGTACGTTGCATACTTTTAGTTTGTTGCCATCATTATTAATTATTAATTATGAAATATAAATTACGAAGCATTAATTTTAGAGCAATCCCCGAACCCGAAATCACCAACCAATCCTACACCTTTTGCTCAAGCAAGGAGAAAAGATGCGTAAGAAAATTTGTTATTACATTTTAAGATTAGGGACCTCAAGTAATCCATCACAATCCTCTCTCAAAAATCAGTTCCCACGGGCCCTGGCTAACAGTACGTATATATGATTTGTCTCAGATATATAACATATATCAAATTACCAGATTCAAGTCTCATATTATCATCACGCAGGAGAAGCAGCAGTAGTAGTCAGGAGGCAAGTGTCTATATAATTTTTGGTTTATCCGTCCATCAAAAAGAGTTCCTAAATGCAATAAATGAACATTTTTTATGATTACCAAAGCCAGTCAGCCCGTTAATTCCATTCACCAAAAACTCTCTCTCACATATTGGTCTGCTGTCAATTATTGGTTACCCCCTCAGACGATTATTTCCAAGCCCCTCCAAGAATTTCGGTTATAACCCCAAAGATCCTGATTAATAAAGAAGGAAATGGAATCCCCACATAAGTATATAAGCCAGCATATGTTTGAGGAGAAACCATGAGAAATAATTTAAAACGTAATGCGTATGTAATGATTGATCACTGATCACAAATTTTGACTGTGTTAATTTCGTTATATAAAATGAAAAAAACCAAATTGAAAATACCAAAAAAAGGAAATACAAAACCAAAACAAAAACAAAAAAACTGAAATGAGAATAATTATCTATAGCATAAAAAGAATAAACACACACACACATAACAAAATAATTAAAATGAGGAAAATAATAAGAAGAGATGAATGTTACAAGAAACGTAAATGATAAAACCCCAAAAAGGAACCTATATTATTAAGTTAAATACTAAAACTAAAAAACAAAACATCCAAGAGGAAAAAATGCAAAACCAAGAAGGAAAAATATTATAATATTGCAATGAAGTGAATATAAATAAAGATATGTAAAAAAATTACAATTTCAAAGGTGTTTCTCTGAAGGAAAACTCGGTTTGGGTTTCTCTTGCTTTAAAGTGGAAATTTTTATTTGTTAGTTGTTGTTTGTTTGAACAGAAGGTTTTTTTTTTTTGAAAAACATTGATTAACTCACTTGGGGGGAGGGGTTCAAAAATTACAATTACATTTCAGTTTGCGACTTAATTAGGTTCGTTTGTTTTGCTTCAGTTTTCATTACTATATTTAATTATATATCGGTTATGTGAATATGAAGAGTTATCATCCGATTGTGGTGAGCTATGAACTTTAATATATTATTCGAGTATCGCAAACAAAAGTCTCGTGTTGAGTAGGCCTTTTTCACTAATTTTTAAATATCTTCTTTCTGGCATCCAACATTAACTTAGACCATTTTTTAACTAGACACGGAAAACATTTAACTAATTAGGCTAGTGTTTTTTTGCATACACAATTACAACAATACATGACATCGTTCTTTCAAATACATATTCCTTTACGATTCTTCGATTAATATTTACTATATAATGTGCAGAGATCCTAGGACTAATTATGGGGCAAATTCAAATCCAAATCAAAACCAACTGAATTGACTTGATACTTCATTGATTGGCTGGCTAATAATATGCAACTGGTTAGATCAAGCGAACTTAAGGACTCTCTCTCTCTAGTTTTCTTAGATATATACATATTTATTATTGCTCGATTAGTTTTGCGGATGCTGCTGATATTCGAAGACCCGTGTCTGAGTGCTACAAGTAATTGCCTTTCAAAACGTTTACAATATTTCAATTATAATATATATATATATCATCCAGTGTATCTGAGGGTATAACACATTACAAACTAACATAATTATGTATATATTTATATAGTTTATATATATATCGTATGGTGGTTTTGTTTATGAAGGCCCAGTTGATATCTAACTATAGCCCCAGAGGCAGTCAGAAGAAGTATTCAAATGGATGTACACAATTTGAGCGCCGTACGTGATTTTTTTGGTAGAGGATTGGATTTCGACCTGATTATAATATATATATATAAGTTACATACTCTATTGGTTTATCCTGCTATTGTGTCGTTGTATGTGGCTACGGGCAGCGAGAGTAAAATATTCGTTTTACTAATGGGAAAAAAATCTAGTTGTGAAAATGTATCAATATTTATGATCGCTGCCCGATTCTAGTCCGTCTGAGTCTGGCTATATCTGCTACACAGTCGAACACCCCAACTCAAGGCTTTGAGAGATTTTTGGGCTCCTCTGCTCTATAAACCCCTTTTCTATATAGAGATTTCAAGCTGAAGAGGTTCAACTGATCTTTGTGAATTTTGGGTATAAAGTGTAGGATGGCTTGGAGAGGTGTGTTTTGTGTTTGTGTTTATGTTTTGAGATCAATATTCATTCAAGGTGTTGTTGTTGTTGGAGGATTGTGATTTTGGTTGTGGTGGCTGTGGTGTTCCGCTGATCCGCTCTACAACTGTCCGTGGCTATAGTCTATATAGTACGAGTATATATCATGCTCATGGTCGTGTGCCTAAAAGAACAAAAGAAATAACATTGAAGTAGCCGACCAAGAGGAAGAGACCGGAGCACCGAATCTAAGCGTTCGACTCCTTCAGATTTTGCAAACGTGCCAATTGATTTGAGTCCAATTCCTCGGGTATGCTAGCTCGCCCACCGACCACCTGTTTGGGTGCCTCAATATCCTCATCGTTGTCACCGGATCTCGATTCACCTGCCGCCTCTCCATTCACGTCCAAATCGCTCGATTGCTCGCCGCCTGATCTACCACCCCCACCGCCGCCGCCCGATCCTGATCCTGATCCGCTGCCAGCAAAGGCATCATCAAAGTTGGCATCAAAATTGGCCTCAAAATTGGCCTCAAATCCATCACCGCCGCCGGTATCGCCTTTGGCCTTCTCGTTGAACGGATCCTCGACCTCCTGCAACGCTGGTACATCGGCAGCCGAGGCTGAGTCCGTGCCCTCCGAGTAGGACTGTTGGTCCTCTGCATCACAGGATGGATACTCGGTCAGTGTTATGCTCACCACGGGCCTACCCACAGCCGGATTACCTTCTTTGGCTGGAGCAGCAGCAGGAGCAGCTGGTGCCTTGGCCTGTGGCTTGGGTGCAATATCTGGCTTCTTGGCCGCCTCCGACTGCGACTGCGACTGCGACTCCTCCTTGCTGTTGGACGGCTGATCCGGCTGAGCAGCATCGCTCTCTCCTACTGGTGGGAAAGATTTATCGGCACCGTCTTCAACCATGGGGGTTGCAGCGGTAACAATTATTTGTGCCATACCTAAGTTCAGCGTGTTGGCGCTGGCCGCCGCCCCTTTAGAGCCCTTCTCACCCGTTCCCGATCCTGGTGCGGGTCCGGAACCGGATCCTCCCGCTTTTGGCAATTGGGGCGGCGGCAACGATGGTGGCGGCTGCCCATCGTCACTGAGATCGTCCTGGAAGCAGTCAAGGGAATTCAATTAGTAAAGATATTTATCAAAATTATAAAATTATAAGACTTAAAAAAATAAAATGCTTAAATTTATAGAGAAATTAAAACCCTTCACTTAAATAGGTAGTATATCTTGTATTTAATTATAGATCGCTTTAAGAAAATAAATAATTTCTTTGAAAATAAAGAGAAAACATAATCGAAATGTCTCATTAGACATAATATTTCAATAATTTACATCGAAAAAAATTGTGACATAATTTTAGTAAGCTTTTTTAACTGATGCTGATTTTCGAATGCTTTTTTGAAGGTTTCAATTTCCTAAGAAAAGCTATGACGGTCTTATTATATTTTCTTATGAAAGAATGTTTACAAAAAAACTCAAACTCATTTCATTTAATATTCTTTAACATTATGTTTAAATAAAATAGGTTTGAGATTTATTTGTATACTATTCTATTTCCTGGATAAATTAATTTTTAAAATTAAAATTTAAAATTCTGTCAAAACAAAACTCTGTAACATAAGCTTTAATAAAAAAAAAATGTTAAGGAAATAAATAACACAACAAATTAATAATAATAATAATATATTATTATTGTATTATAATATTTTACCTCCATGCCAGGCTCTTGGATGAGTACTGAGTATGCATTAAAAATAGATGAGAAAATATTCGTTTGCTTAGTTAACAATATTTGGTATGCTTTAAATTATTACTTATATCAATACATTATCGATCAAAAGGATTATAGAGCGGTGAGGTAGAAACTAAAAATGATCTGGATCAAGTCAAGGCAGCCTTGAAACAAGAAACTATCTAAGGTACACGAAAAGGTTTGGCGAGTGGAAACTCAATAAAGAAGCAAATGGTAAGCATAATTTAAATAATAAATTGTCATTTTAAGATACATTTATTTGGATCTGAGGGGGACAAACATGCAGGGGAAAAGGGGTAGAAAACTAGGGGGTTTTTCTCAGTGCTCAAAAGTTTCGGTTTCCAATTTCAGTCTGATTATTGCTGAACTACATAGGGGAACCGATATATATGTATATATATTTATATGGTTTAAAATGGTTATATACAAAGAACAGGGTTTCATATATATTTTGTAACTTTCAACATATGGAAAGATATATTATAAAAGAGTTTATAGAAAAACCTCAACAGAGTTATATTTTTTCTATAGTTTTGTTATATACCAAGAAGTAAGTAGAAAAGTTTGGAGGATTTTTTGGAATTTTCATGCTCTCAAACAATGGAAATGGAACAGATTTTCCTACACTAAAGTTATAGAATCAAGAAAAAGTTATTTATATAGTTTTTTTAAGGGTAAGATAGAGCATATTTGTTATAAAATTACCCTTCTTGGCAGTGGTTTGGCTTTGGTTCTGGCCTTAAATGACACAAAGACACAATTACACTGAGAGAAAAAAATACACAACCAATGCAAGAAACAGCAATGAAAGAAAGAAATGTGATATATATTTAGAGAAAATTAATAACCAATTAAAGCTTTTAAATGCAATTAAATTGAAACTTTAGTGCCACACAAAGAGACACACACACAGAGGTATTCTTTATATTCATAATTAATTAATATAGAGATAAAGAGAAGCTGCAAAAGAAATAAATCGAAGATGGAGAGTTAACGGTAACACGACACCGACACGACACCTAAGGATAAACACTGTAAGAAATCGTAGGGCATATCAATATCATCGGTGGATCGATCTCGTCTCGGCTGCGGAGACTTGCGAAGACTTTTTGGAGACGAGAGACAAAATAGCACATTAACGGAGAGTAGTGGAGAGTTGTGGAGAGTAGATACAGTGACATTGGTGGATACATTTTTTTGTGGTAATTTTGTGGTGTTTTTTTTTTAGTGGTGGTTTAGTGGTGAATTGGTGGTTAGTAGTTGGACGAGCTGCTTTTTCTTGGAGTTAAGGTTTACCTCTAGAGAATACAGAAGCAGGTAAAACAGTACTTTTGGTTCGAAATTGGTATTGGTTCTTTTTTTTCATATATATAGTGGAGAGTTAGAAATTATACAAATGTTTTGGTACTAGAGGAATCGATATTGAGTGACAGATACAAATTGTATAGGATAAAGGTATATAGATATTGAAAGGGAAACAAAAGACCAGGTGCTAAGGTTGAGTTTCAAGGGCGGGGGCATTTACCTGGCGGAGGCATGCTCGGTGCTGCAGCGCCGTTTGGTATATAGCCGCTATCCTCATCTGTAATATATATAAAGAAATAATGGTTTCTTAGTAAATTATTGTTTAAAAATCACCAACAGTTTAAAATCTAGTTTAAAATGCTTTTATAGCATACTTTTTGGTGCATTTTCAAAAGATTTCAAAATTTCTTATAGTAAAAATGTGCTCACCTGCCGTATCCTGTGAGCCAAACATATCCTCCGTTAGCTCCAACTCCAGCTCATGGGCATACTCTGGCGGCAGTGCCGGTGCCGGTGGCAGTGCAAAACTGGGTGCCGCTGTGGGCGGTGGTGACTCATCCCCACCCTCGCTAAGTGGTTCACCCATCTCATCGCACTCCTCGACCACCAGTGAGGGGAAATTGCCAAATTTGCCATCCAGCTCACCCTCCCACCAGCCATCGTCGACCCCGTGGGCGGTCTTGGTGACGATCTTGATCTTGTCACCCTCCTCGAAGGTCAGCTCATCCTCGGCAGTGGCATCGTAGTCGTAGAGCGCAATGCACCATTCCACATCCGATTTGACACGCTTCTGGGGCGCCATGATGACCGATACCTGGTCGGGTGATTGCATCGAGTCCACCGTTTGATCTTCATTGTCAACAGTATAATCGACAGATGAGAATGAGATTTGAGAGCGCAATTGATTGCCGGAAGTACCATTAAAGGCGCTGCCCGCTGTCTCCTGATCGATGTCCAGATAGTTGTGCGGCACGTAACCCTCCTCGCCGCGGTAGTTCCGAGCCCTCAGCCAGCCGTCGCCATCGCCCTCGCCGACCACCTCGAGCTGTTCGTTTTCAACAATGGTAAGCTCATCGGGATTTTGGGCCTGCAAGGATAAAGGATTATTCAAAGCAAAACTGGAATATAAAGACATATCCTTACCGTATAGCTGTAGAGTGCAGTACACTTAAAGATGGCCTCCTTTGGCTCGGGTACAATGGGTTCGTCCTTGTCCTCCTCCTCTTCGGCTCCCCAGTTAACCTCGGTGGGGTCGTCCCAGCCTCCACCTCCGGTGGCCATTGCCGCTGATGAGGCAGCCGCTGCTGCGGCAGCTGAACTGGAAGAAGCTGCTGCCGCCGATGCCGATGGACGTTCATCGGGTTCATCGTCGCTGTCACTAAAGGTGCGATCCCTGGACAGTTGCTGCTCCGCCTTGGGCTTTGCCTGGGCCGAGGCCTGGGCCTGAGTCTCCTCCTTGTCACTGTCATAGAAGGAATCCGAACTGGGATTCTCACCCTGCCCGGAGGCATCTGTGCGCATTGAAATGGAACTGGCCGAACGGGTCAGCTCCTGCACACCCATAATCTCGGCCTCCTGCACCCACTCGTCCACGTTGATGCCACCATCCCGCAGGCACTGCAGGCAAGCCTCCGCCTTGGCCTTCTCCGTCTCCGAACGCCGGATCTGATCCCGGAACTCTTCGATCTTCGTGTCCAAATCTGGTCCATTTGGATCATTGGGATCGCTGCGTTGACCCGAATCCCGCAGTGACTGGCACAGGGCCAACTTCTTGGCATTCTCCCGGATCGAGGCATTCTCTTTGACCACTCTGCCGGCCAGATTCTTGGCCTCCTTGGTCAATGTCTCGGCAGCGGATTCATGCTCCGCGGTCACCTTGCGCACCGGATCATTGTCGCATGCCTCGAAGTCGTACTGGATGTGCTGCTTCAGCACCGGATAGAAAAGGTAGCAACACTGCAGATTGTACTCCCGGGTGAGCTGTTGGGCCTGGTCACGGATCTTGCCAAAGCTGTTCTGGGTGGCCGAGCAGGTCAGCAACTCTGTGCGTCTGGAAATTAATGGGAAATGAGTTATTGAACTTGAATCAATTACAGGGAATAAGGTAAAGGTGCTTTTCTGTACTAAAAATTATAGAAAATATATGATAAAGAAATACAAAGTAGCAAATATTTCTTATATTTATGCTCAAGTACATAAAACCTTATCATACCGCACATTACTTAGATCATAAAGCTCAAAAAATCACTAATAATGTTGCAGTTTACTATTCCAATCAATTTCATTGGAATGAGAGCTGATAACAATTTTCATTTTTAACAAATCTAATGCAACTAAAGCCCAGGAAATTCAAAACGATAAAATAAGGCGCCGTTACAAATTCTTAAAGCAAATGAATCATTATGAAAACTTTATCAAACAAGGTAACTATTAAGGTTAAGAAATTTGTATTGCCAAGACTTTAGGCTTCAAAGTTATAAATTAACAAGAAATAAACTTCAATGTTAGACATATTTTTTAAGAAAATAACAAACCCTTCAATGTTATAAATGAATTATAAGAAAATTACAGAGAAAAGGTTTCAAGTTATTGTGGAAAATTTACAGAAAACGATATAAATTAAATTTAAGTAACAAAGAAAAGCTTGCATATTTCATTGACTTTTTAGGGATTTGAAATATTTGTAAAGTAAAAGAAATAATAGAAATCCCATTTCCACACCAATTACACATTTCCTCTACCACAAATTCCATAAATATACTTGTAAATAATGTAATATATATTTAACTTAATTTGTAAATCCGCCAACTCACCCCATTAGCATCAGGTACTCGGCGACCCTTTCAAAAACATAGTTCTCCATCGTTGTCATTGTGGTCTGCAGATCGACCGTAAAATAACGATTCTGATGAGCATTTGCAGCTGCCAGACTAAGTACGTAGTCGTTCCTGGCTCCAGAGGACTTCTCCTCAAGCAACTCCTTGCGGGATGTTACCCTAGCGCTGTTCTTCTGCAGCGAGGTGATGGACTGGAAGAAGGATCCTTTCTTCTTCTTTAGCTTCTCCTCAATATCCCGAGCCTTATCCCGAACATCATGGGCACAGTGCTCTTCATCAAAGTACGATTTCTTGGTTTTGTCCACATCACCAACACTTAAATGGAGTTCCTTCTGGACATTGACAATTCCGGAAAGAGAACGCTTTGCTATGGCCAACTTATAGTCCCGAAGGACCTTGGCCTCATCGGCAATCTGCTGTTGGAACACCTCGATGGCGGCCAAACGGGCTCTGGCCAGCTTCTCATTCTCCTCGAGAACAGTTCGCCAAACGCTCCACATATTCCTGGAAAAGATGAAACCATAAATTAGTTTTGTTATTATTTTTAGATACTTTTAATAACAATCCTCAAGGACTAAGGTAACCCACCAGCGTTCCTCTATTCCATCCATTTTAATATCCGGTATATTGGGTATCTTCTTGTTGAGATACTGGGATGAGATCTTTAGCAAGGCTTCACTGTACGACTTCTCGATGGCCGAACGCTTGATGGTGAACTGACGGATGTCCTCCAACAGGTCGCACTCATGTTGATTCTTCAACTGCAGCTTGGCCACCTGCTCCGTGTGCAAGTTCTTGAGGAACTTCACATAGTTTCCCTGTAGAATATTAAATGGATTACTAGGAAATACTTTAAAATCTGTAAGTCATATTTTTTAGGTTTACCTTACGCGGCGGCGGCTGCATCTTGGGGCTTTGTCTACTTTAATCAAGTCTTTCTACGATTTGTTTCTTTTGTGTTCTGAGTTCCGTTTAAATGATGTTACATTACCTCTAGCAACTGCAAAAAGTAGGATGATATGATATGAGATGAGGTAGCTTAGAAAGATATAATATTGAAATTGATTCCTACAAGAATTTTTAGCAAAATCAAATTTTACTAGGCTTCTTAAGAGTATTATTTGAAGATGGGAATATTAATAATAATTGCTAATTCAAGATTTATGACTTCAGTTTTAGATTTGAACCTTTAATTTCGATCTTAGCAGACTTAATTATTTAAAAGAGGATGATTTTAGAGTGCTAAAATCAAGAATAATATTTAAAACCCGATCTTAGAAGTCTCCAAAAGCCGGTCCATATATTTAAATTTTTTAGACACTCATTCCATTTTTCTCTCATGGTAAACATTTTTAAAGTATAAATTAAGAAATAAAATTTTTATTTTAAATGTTGTTTATACTCCTTCTAATTTAATAAAAAACATTCATTTATTTCTCTTTTAAAAGGATACGCACTAATTATAATTTTATCTTTAAAGAATATCAGTTTTTCTATAGTCTGTTTGTTTTTTAAACAATTCTAACATCAAATAAAATGTTTTAAAATATGTATATAATTTTTAGTAGCACTCTAATTAATAAATCATTATAATTGATATTAAACCAACATATATTTTGCGCTCCTTGCATTTTAAAAATCACGAAATTTAATTTAAAAAACTATCTCTTTATATTTATATAAAGGAAAAAATAATATCTAACAGAAACATTAATGTTTATTTTCAATTTAATTATTATTTCGTTTTTTTTCCTGTGTGGATGGGTGTGGGTGGTTGGTGGTTTTCTTAAGCCGTTAATAGATTCGCTACGCAGCCACGGTTCTTGGAACTTATGTAACTCAAAAATGCAATGGAAACTGGCAGAAATATGAAGATTACAACGACCATTATTATCCTCAATTCTTAATTTAGACAATTTTTCTGGGGAACTTTTCACTGCAGCAGCCAGCCCAGGCAGCAGCCCCCGTTTTTTTCGGCTATATTCGTATCGATTTCTCGGGTCCCCGGACTAGCTTAGTTTTGCTATTTAACTACGGTATTAAAAACACTTGGCTAACACTCTTCTTGGACATGGCCGAGATAGGTGATTGGTTTATTTTTAAGTTGATTTCGAGTTATCTCTGGGTTATTTTTACACCAAATTCAAGCACTTTTCTTGGTCTGCTGAAATCCGTTGCTTACTTATCGATTTCGATTTTCACGTCGTTTGGCGACGGAGACTTTTTCACATGCACCGTTAACTGCTGCTGCGCTGCTGCTGCGCAGGAGTGTGAGAGCGAGAGAAAGTGGAGAGCGGCGAGAGAGAGTGGCAACGGCGTTTCATTCATAGCGGTCAAAATAACGGTAACAAGCACATGCGCCCCCGAAGGGATGTTTTTTTATTTTTTGTTTTTGCCGCGTCAGCTGCTGCTTGATAACACCTCGTCAAGTGTAACGGCACTTCACTATGATTATGAAACTTACGCATATTACCTCAGCAGCAACCGTGAGATGTTGACACCTGGCGTGCGGCAACTGTTTCCAAAAATACGCGGTTTCATGATAATACACCTATGCTGGCCAGCAGCTATCTCAGTTTAATTGATAACTTCAGATATCGGCGACGTTTGATAAGATTTTTGGACTCGCGCCCAGAAGTATGCGTCAAAAAAAATACTATCTGTGGGGACTGGGGTATTTTTTAGGATTTGTTGGTTTGCTGTTTTGTAGCCCAGTTGGCTATTTCCAAGCCAAAATTTTAATTTTTTTAATAAATATTAAATTAGAAATAAATTCTTAGTTTATATTTCAATGTTCAAACATTTTAAATAACTTTTTAATCTATAAATACATGTTATTATTTTTATGTATTTTTAAACCTAATTTCCCAACATTTTTCAATCCCAATCACAACTCACACCGGCTGATCTAAGATCTTGTTGATAACGGTCAAATGGAAGTTGCCATTTGATTACATGAATTACTTTATTGTTTGCTTTGGCTTGCATTGAAATCCGTTAAGCACCAATATACCAACATACTAAACGGCGAGGACAAGAACCAGGACCTATACAGGCCTTGTAACTCTTAATATTTCCATATTGATATAAAGATTTAGTGCGACGTCCACCCCACGATTACGTAAATGAATTGTTTTATTATATGTCTAATTCTTTACAATTTTAAGCTGTCTTTATTTGATGACAATTCGGTATGGCTTGCCGCGCTAATATAGCAAGGTTGCCACACTGCTGCCAGATTTTATAAACGCGTAAAATTCGTATATACACGTGTAAGATGTAAAACAACAAAATAATGTCAAAACATTGATAGTATAAGAATACTTAACTTTTTTATTTAAAATGTTTTTGAGATTTATTTACATTATTATGGCCATTTTCATTACTTTATTTATTAATTCCAACCTTTTCTTTCCGCCTAGAAACCGCTACGTGAGAGCAATGTTTCTATTTTTTAAATTTCCCTCCTCCATGGCTTGAAAATTATATACATTCATTGTTTTTTAGCTATTATCGAAATTTTCTGGCTGTTTTTAGCTTTTCTCAAAACATTGATTTAGCTTATTTTGGCTTTTTTCTGTTGGTGGCAACACTTTGCCAAGCTCTGTACTTTGTTGTTTTCGTGTTTTGATGTTTGCCCCTCCGAAATGGCCACGAAGCTAAATGTAAATATCCGGACGCTGCTGTCCAACTGCGAGGATTTGGCCAAGAGCGAGCAGAACTTCTGGCGGCTGCAGAAGTTCATCAAGTCGCTGGACACCATGCTTGCCGAGCTGGAGGCGATGGACGACCCTCAGAGTGCCACCCGCATCCCGGGCTACACGGAACGCCTGAAGGCGTTGAAGATCGCCACGGGATTCATCGAAGTGGCCGCCAGTTCCACGACAAATGCATCACTGCAATCCTCCTCATCAACCAGCGAAGCCGGGGAAAATGCACTGAAGGAAATGCGGCAGCTACAGAACACGAAGCATCACAACGCACTGCGAAAGGAGCTCCTGGAGGGTGAATTTGTGGTTTTTAGATAAAGGGGGAAGGCCCTTTGTATATTGTTTCCTTTTTTAAAAATGTTCTTAAAGAGTTTTTAAAAACCCTCCCCATAACATCAATGTATAGAAAACCTTATTTTTATACGACTTTTAGTCAAATTTGTATTGTTTCACTAAGATATTTCGTCTTTTGATAAAGTTTTACATTTTAGAGCCAGTTTAAAGATCTTAAGGTGTATTAATAAGACATAGAATCACAGTGAAGCGACTATATATGCCAGGAAACTCGTATTACTCGCTTTAATTCGAATTTACATACTAGAAGTTTGACTTAAATAGGGGCCCAAACCTGAAATATATCTTACAATCTTACAAATTATACTTTCCCAAACTAAATTTAATATATAAACCCTTTTCAGATGGCGATGCCGCCCTGCGACGACGTCGAGGAGGTGCTGAGGAGTCAAGTCCCAGTAGCGGAAGCATCCAAACAACTTCTGCCGACAATATGAACGAGGCTGCCAAGTATTATACGAACGCCCAGGAGAAAATCACAGATCATATGCTCTCACTGACGCGAAATCTAAAGGAACAGACAGAGACTGCCAACAGGATCATTCGCAGGGACACCGAGGTTGTGTCACGGTCCGCTGGAATGGCGGATCGCAATATAAATTCCTTGGGAAAAGAGGCTGAGAAACTAGAGCAGCATTCAAAAAATGCCTACAAGTGCTGGCTCTGGTTAATGATTGTCTTTGTAATTGTTACTTTTATAGGTGGGTCATAATGAAATCGAATCTGTTGTAAAAAGTCTGTAAATCGTTCCAAATGCGTGTCTAGGTTGCACTGAAGGTTAGGTTTCTCTTGTTTTAATATTAGTTTCTTTTGATTGAAAAGCTTAATAACTTTTGTAGAACACAATGAACTTAAAATAGCAATTATAAACATTTAAGCTTCATAATTTAATGGTTAATATTCATATTTTCACATGAAAGGCTTTGAACTTATCATTGCAACTCAGTAATCCAGTTAAAACATTTGTTTACTGTAATGAAAAACTCGCATATCAGGTAATTTCAACACGAACAAGTTTTCTGTGACTCAACCTGAGACTTAATTGCTTAAATTGGATCGATTTATTGAAGTTCGCCTGTACCTTAATCGCTCTAATGAGTTTATTCCCCTTTCCATTTTCAGGTATGGTGCTGTTCATGAAGATCATGAAGAAGAAGAAGGCGTAGGAACTGACTCCAAACGAATCAAACTAAAGATTATACATTAAATACGCTCTTTCCGATGCCGAGGTTAATAGGTTATCCACAGAGCACCCAAAATCGTGTAAACAGACCCACATTAAACGTTCGAAAGCCGCCCAGCGATTTATTTATGAATAGTTTATGTACAAGCGCCAAGCATTTGGTAGATTTTTATGTTTTTGAGCATTATTGTTCTGTATTATGGGTCCTGTATTCGATATTCTAGTCCTACTCAGCTGCAATGAGCTCTGTGACTCCGTTTTTGGTGATCAGCTGCAAAAGGGATCCGGTTTTGGGACGGTCCTGTCCCTGGGTCCACTTTTGGAAGAGTCCAGCCACCTCGGTGAGTGGCGTCCAGGTGCCAAAGTCCGCATCCGGCATCCATTTGCGATTCATGGGCGTATCCAGGGTCACGGGAAGAATAGATACTGCCAAAGAACCAGCTGGCAGGCCAGATTTCTCGGCGCCCAGCGACTGGGTAAGCTGGTGAACGGCAGCCTTGGCCATGCCGTAGCCAATCATGCCGGGAGTACCCTCCAGAGCGGGCTTAGCACCAGTCAATGCGAGTAATCCGCCCTCCTTGAGGTACTGTGCCGCCACAGCAGCGGAGATGGACGAGGTCCAGACGCTCTGCTTCCACATGAGATCGGCGTTCTTGGCCAGGTCCTTCTTGGCATTCCCACCGGCCCAGCCGCCAGCCACGCAGATGACGGCATCCAGTTTCTGGCCCGCCAGGGATTCCCCCACCTTGCAGACCACCGCATCCTCCTGCTCCGACCACGAAGCATCGCGTGGCACCACAATGCTGACATCGGCCTTCTCGTTCTCCGACAAGTCAATGCTGCCGACCCACTGAAAGGTGGAAAACAATGGTTAATTTTGAGGGACTTACTCATTAAGCATTTATTCTGCGAAAGTGAAAGGTTACTCACATAATTGTTGGCTTTGAAGTGATCGACACAGGCAGAGCCCAAGGCTCCCTTACCGCCATAGATTACTACTCGACCTGCGGACATTATGCGTGATGCCAGTTTTGCGGTTCAAATACAACTGAGATTTGGAATAAAAAAACACGAGAAATTTCAATTCCTCGCTGCTTGGATAGACGGTGAGTCAAAAGCGGGAGCTTTGAACGCAGCTGGGGGGTTTTTAACCGCGGCGAGGAGACCAGTTCTACCGGTAATACTCGGGAGAATTAATTTGTAAGTCTGGTTTTGAGCTTAAGCTTCTCAAAATAGCTTTTTCAACGCTCCGAGAGTGACAGGCGGCAGCAACAAGTGGAAAATCGATAAAATGCAAAAAATCCGCAAGCCTGGTCCCACTTATCAGTCTGAACGCGTTATTTCGGTATTTTTCTGGTATATACCAGGAAAAGTAACAGCTGATTGGGGCTCTCACCGTCTCGCTCTCGCTGCTCTTTTTTTGAAAAGGGAAATGCGTGAAATACGTTGGCAGTGCGCCGCATTTCCACGAGACGAGAAGAGTTGTACCGAGGTTACGCGTTTTCCACACTCAGTCCCACCAGCCGCTGTCGCGTTACGTCACGAAGCTTGAACACGGTGTATATTGGCAGGGATTTAGAGAGAGATTGCGCTTTTCGGCAGGAGTTTTCCCGCTTGGCTTTTCCTTGGCAAACAAACCACAAGACAACTCGCAGGCCGGAGCAGTGTTATTTTTGTGTTATTCGGTGTATTTTTCGGGGGCCCCAGTAGACGGCGCGTAGTTTTTCACTTTAAAAGTGAACTTTCCCAACGGTCACCGCCTCACACACTCATTTCTAATTGTGATTCGTAGGAAGTAAGTTCTCTAGTGTAAAATAAGTCAAATTCTCATAAAAAATAAATCGGAACACAACAATTAAACCAACAAGGAAAAACACCACCAAATATCGAGGAGCATCCAGAAATCGTTCAAATAGAAGCATTAAAAGCTAGCAAAAACAACTAAAGATATAGTATCTCTATCGTGTTTCAACCAAAATCCAACCGCAGTCGTAGTCTCATTCGTCTTTGGTCATCTAGTTCTTGTTCTTGTTCAGCATTGAGTAAATATATAGCGTTGTGTACGTATTATATGCTTGCGCCTAATCACGTAATCGGTAAATTCGGCATTGCAATTCCAACAACAATAATTGTGTAAACGGTATCTAAACGTAAGCGGCAACGTAACGCATCCAGCAACGTAAGCGTCCAAAGGAGCAGCAGCAGCAACTGTAACAAGAACAACAACAACAGCGGCCAATCGGAAGCCTCTGAAGAGGACGTCAGCTAACGGTGAGTTTATCAAGACAAGAGCAAGCGAGCTATAGAGAGAGAGAGAGACTTGGAGCGGAGGGGAAATGTCACTCGCAGGGAAATTGAAAAATGCCAGGCGAAAATTCTTGGCCGTTGCAACTCGTTTCGAACACGTGTGTGTGTCTGTGCTCCTCTCTCTCTCTCTCTCTCTCTCTCTTGCTCGCTCTCTCTCTCCCTTCCTCTTTCGTTCAGCGGAAAACGTGTATTCTTAAGAAAAACCAGAAAATCGAAACACGGAATTGGGTCAGTGTGTCATTCGCCATCCCGCTCTTGCCAATACCAACTCCCCTATTCCGATTACGATTCCAATTCCGATCCGAGCTGCTAGTCTGGCTAAAACCTCTGTCTAAAACGTGTTTCATGCTTAGTCAATTTGTTCTTTTTAACTAGTCGCCGCAGCTAGTCTAGTCTCTGCCTCGATCTCTGCCGCTGCCTCAGTCGCAGTCGCTGTTGCCGCTGGCGTTGCTGTTCGCTGCCGTCGCTGTCACCACTTGACTAAAGCGGCCTAAACAGCATCGCCTCCAGAAATGCCTAAAAAAAATTAGCCGCAACTGCTGCACTGCGTGTTAGAAGGAGAGGTGTAGTGTTTGTCTGATTGTCACCCGCGCGGCCACCTTAAATACCCTTTAATAGATGGGATATGATAAAATAAGCGTAGATAGGGGAATCTATAATGAGAACTGAACTGAAATACAATGAGATATGTTTAAAAGTCTTTCCATATCAAATGAAATGATCGTAGAGGAAGAATTTAAATGAAATTAACTTAAATTCAAAGGTTCTGCTCGCTTAAGGATAATTTTTTACGAACATGTTTGTATTTATAGATCGAATCTATTCCTTTGAATTTTGTACTCAACATTTTTATTTACATTTTCAATATTTAAAATACCTTTATAAATACATATGTCAAAAACGAACTCGTTGCTTAGCTGTATCTTTCACTTTTTTAATTATTATTAAGCATCCAATACTAAGTATCTGCAAGTCGATCAAGGCTACCCTTACAAATCTAACTCTCTCTAGCGCTCTCTTAATTTCTAGAGCCCGCTCTGTCTTTTTTTTTCGGCCACTCACTTCACTTGATCTTGCACTCGGAAAACGTAAGCGTTGCAGCGACGCTGACTGCGACGCCGACAGCAGCAGCTGCGGTGCTTTTACCTTGAGCCCGCCTGCACTTGACGCAACCCCCCGTCCGCCCCTTTCCCAGCTCAGTCCACAGCAAACGCTCATACATACATATGTACATATGTATATGTATCTGAACTTCTGAAAAAGCCAACACCTTTCGAAATCGTAGTCGCTTTTATTTCAGTTTCTTGCCTCTTTTAGCTCGGCTTTTGCCTCTGCTAAGCGGCGTTTTTTTATGCCCATGTATTTCTGATGTTTGCTAATAAAATTATTACGACTTGGCCGACAGCGGCTGCTAATGCGTTTTAAGGTCGCCGCTTCTCTTGTTGATTTTGACCCAATAAAATCCGAAATGACGATTCCAATGCTCCCGCTCACATTTCCCGGTCCATTTAACATGTGTCCATTGCGCCAGGATCCGATTTGATTTATTTCAAAGTTATTTATTATACAACCCAGCCACGGCACGAGGCACACACAGAAATAAACAACAAAGCAAAGGGTGGACAGGAGGAAGGACGAAGAGTGTCAGCCGCCAGCTGGTGCTCATTTTCCAGGATGCGAAAAAGGGGGAATAGCACAAATGGGGGAGGGGAACTAGGCATACAGAGAAAATAAAGGCCTACTACGGGTTTATTATTGTCTTCTTAACTTAAATGTTAAACAGGAAAGGATAGTTTATATGTATGAATATCCTTCCAGTTAGGGATTGATTTATAGGATTAAATCGGGAATCGATCATAGATGCGCTTAAAGTATTTGCATTAATAATTATCAATATTTTATATACCATGTTGTTTGATAACAAGACATAAGTTTAATTTGGAAAGCTTTCCTATGATAATTTAAAATAAAAGAATATTGCCATTTTGACAATTTTAAACGATTAACTTTAGTACCATTTTTCTAAGATCCCGTAATAAAAAGGATATTGATTAAATATAATTTACATAAAGAACTCAACTAATTCTAAACAATACCCAAATATTTACATGTGAATTCTAAGCATTCCCACCTTCGCTTAAAACTAAAAACAAAAACTTTTCCCAATTTAATTTTCATTTCCCTTTTTCTCTGCGTGTTTTTTGGGGGAAATTGGGGATAGGGATAACAACGCGGAAGAGGCTCCATTATAGGTTGCTGGTTTACTAGTTAACTGGGCCCGCAACGGGGCAATGTGCGAGCGGGAGAGGTAGAGCAGCAGCACCCCACACAGGGCGAGAGCGAGAGAGCCGAGAGGAAACGGTGGGCGGTGGGTGGTGGGCGGTGGACCGGTGACACTGACAGTGGAGCAGCCAGCACCTTCGTCATCGTCAGCATTCGGCAGGCCTGTATAAGAGCAATAAATAATGCACACGAAGAGCGGCGATGAGAGACGTGATTGGGGAAGAGATTTCAGAGTGATTTCAAATGCTATTCTCGCGAGAGAGAGTCAGAGGTAAAGTCAAGAGAGCACAACGCTTTGGGGTTGTTTGATTTTTGCACTTAAGAGCGAAAAAAGTGGCTTTGATTTTTTGGCCTTCCCTCTCTTCTTCGCTTCCTTTGGGGAGGGGGGCTTGGGGCATGCCAACTTTGTCGGCCGATTTGACCAACCCCCAAGAGGGAATTCCCGAAAACTTGGCCCATTAAATTGATAACGTTAAGTATAGGTAATTTAATTTGATTTTCTTCGGACACAAAAGCCAAAGAAAAGGCAAATTTCAGTTGAAGTTCCCTATCATCATTTTTTATGATTAGATATTACTTTTATGAATAGTTATTTTTTTACATGGAATTTAATTTAATTATATCTCCTTTGTGGTTTGTTATCTTTCATGAAAATGGAGGAGAATGTTGTTCAATAAGTTAATTAATTAGGGTTAAAAAACCTTTTAATAATGGTTAACACCACAAGTTATTGACATCAATAATTATGATTAATTTTATAAGTTACTTAAATATTCAATTATAAAAATTATAATTCTTTACTTTAAATGCATTCTAAAATGATATATATTTTCGAATCGTTCTGAGTGTATTATTTTTCCTAGAGTATTCCACTCAAAAATATTTAATTTTCTTAACTGACATTGTTGTTGGTTGAAAAGTGGGTGGGAAAAAGCGTGCGGAAATGTGGGTGGTCTCAGTGGGCGGCCGCCGTCGTCTCACGTATTTGCATGCCTCAGACCCAAAGTTGTGGCTCTCTCTCCCCCAGTCTCTCTCTTTGCTCTCTCTTTCGACTCTCTGGAAGCCGTGTATGTAGCCCGAGTTCCAATTGGGATAGGGATGCGAAGGCTAGCGCGCGCTAACCTATATAATTTTTTGTTCCGCTTCTAACAACAAGCACATCTCGAATCAAAAAAAATATATACATATATATACAATATATATGTGTATATATATAGAGAAACCCCTGGCAGTTGAAGGTTCTTGCTTTTTCGTACATTTTAAAGCAGTTTTTGTTGCTGATTTCCTTTCTGTATTTTTATACCCTTATACTCTCGTAGAGTATTATAATTTTAGTTAGAAGCTGGTAACAGCCTTAATGCTGTTTTGGCTAAATTATGACTTTTATCAATAAAATATTTGTATAAAAATATATATCTTTAAATACATATCGATTTCCGGTATGATTTTATAATAAAATAATTAACTTCAAGGGTATTTAATCTTCGGCATCCCCAAGCTAGCTTCCTTTCTTGTTTTGATGTTGTCGTTGTTGTTGCTTTGAGATGAGTTTGCGTTTGGTTTTGACTGCTTTTGAATTTGGCTTTGCATTTAAAATGTTAAGTATACGCATCAGTGAACTCAATTTAATTATCGTGATTGTTTTGCCCGCTGTCTTTGCTGATGAAATTCAAATTTTCCAACTTCACAAACAGAAGCAAAAGGGGGGTTTGTGCTGCTCCCAGACTAATTTTCCAACAACGTGTATTTCCCGCTTTCTGTCTTTTCCTTTTGATTTTTCTTATGTAAGTGAGAGCTGATAAAAAAATATAGAAAAAATCTAGCTAGCTAGCTGGCTGACTGGCTGACTGGCCATAATTACGAGCTTTAGATTCGCCCTTCGCCCATTTTTTATCAGCGGCGTTATTTATGCGTCCTCCCACAATGACAAAGTGGGCTGAGTACTTAGGTAGAGAGGGGGAGGGGTGACTGGAGGGGAGGGGGAAGGTTCTCTACTGTTTTTGATAGACAACAATCGAGCATTTGAAGTGCAGCGTAGCGCAAAGAGAACTGAAAACTGAAAACTGAAAAGCAGAAAAGTTGGAAGCACAAAAAGTACAACACACAGCAACAAAAATACAGAGCAGAACGCACGTTTTGCTGTAGCCAAAAACCCAAACGAAAAGCAATTAAGTTGCCACGGATCATTGCACAATAAGTAAAGAATCAGTATAAAAAAAAAACAACAAAAACTAAAAAAAAAAGCAGGCCCGAATACGAAACGTAACGAAACATAACTGTGTTTGCTTGCCCAGCCAAAACGCCGGCGTCGCTGCTCGCTGTCCGCCAGCGCTGCCTCTGCTGGCAGCGCGCTCTGCACACTGCCTTTAACTCATATGAATGACAATGGGGTTAGTTTCGGCAGTTCAGAACGCACGGAATACGGTTAATTAGTCTCAAAGAACGAACTAGGTGTCGCCGACCACGCCTCACTGGTCCCGGAATTCCAATAAGCGCGGTATTAACCTCAATGGTAGTTTTTAAATTGCTTCCAAATCGGAGTCAATGGATTTATTACCACTCTGTGGGGTATTGTCTATAAAGATTTAGGGAAATTATAATCTACTAATTAAAGTTTTTGTTTGAGGGCTTTACATATTTTGCTTTAAAATGTACAATTTTAATTTAAACCTCATACGCGA